GAGGAAGAGGCAGCATTTGAAATGGGACCTCAACAACAAACAGAAACGTGTTCAACGGTACCTCCGGCGACGGAGGCAAATGTACACAGGTGGAGAGGTGGACCACTACAGAATGGCAAACAGTGTGACTGGAGCACCGAAGGAGATGGGTGGGTGGGTAAGTGGGTGGGTAGGTGGTGTGTGTGTGTGTGTGTGTGTGTGTGTGTGTGTGTGTTCATCTGAAGGATGGAAAAGGCAAGGAGTTTACCTTTTAGGCTCTAAAAAAAGGGGAAACTATTAGAGTGGAAGGGTAAAGGATCCTGTGCTAGAAAGAGCCCTCTTGTGGCACTAGGGGAAGGTAAAGGGGAAATAAAATAAGATGGCAGTCACAGTAAGAAGGGGAGGGATTCACGAGCATTTCAGACTAGAGTTGGCCATGCTCAGAGATCATTACTTTTCAAATATTTTTAAATCCCAATCCACAGTAAGAAATACATTTCAGTCCGGCTGGTGTGGCTCAGTGGTTGAGCACTGACCCATGTACCAAGAGGTTGCCAGTTCGATTCCCCTGTGCGGGGCATGAAAGAGGCGGCCAATCGATGTTCTCTCTCATAGATGTTTCTATCTCTCTCTCTCTCTCCCTTCCTCTTTCTCTAAAATCAATAAAGAAATAAAAAAGAAATACCTTTTAACATCATCATCCAGTGTGCATGCTTACACAGATGTGAACATGTGTGCCCATGAATGCATGTGTATAAATATATACACATTGTAACACACACACACACACACACACATTTCACTAAACATAAGACAGTGCTATAAGCCCAAGGCAATGTCATGCTAATTATCCAACACAGCGCTATGAAAGCAACAAGAGATATTCTAAAATAGTAGGTCTGTCCTACTAATGTTTCCTTTAAAAAACTATTGATTTTAAGGTTGTTGTTGACTTGAGGTACTTAGTGCTCTCTGTTACTTAAGTAATAATTTATCACTTGATGTGACTTGCTGTTCTTTTGTAGTCTTCCTGGCTGATTACACTGCGTGGCTTAGTTAGGTATTCATGAGCATATAGCACAGCCAAGCTTTTAGCAAAGCTGCTTATCTGTGCTACTGATTTCCGCATGATATTTGTGGAGTCAATCTGTTGCTACTCTTAAAATTAAATGAAAGAGGCTCCTATATCCAAGTGTTACTTTGCTGTATAGATTAGTCTATAAAATTCCTGAAGCCTGGAACATAGTTTTTAAAAAAAAAATTAACATGTGATGCTAATTTTGATCATGATGACCCTACTCTGCAGAGTTAGAGCTGCCATGCATGCTCCTTTTAATATCATAGGCACAGGGAAAGGGGACACTTTTAGCACTGAACAAGTATGTGCCTGGGTTCTGTCCTGTCAGCAATAACAGGACTTTCCTGGGAAACTCATTTACAAAACACTTTCACATATATTATTTTAATAGCTAACTTTTATTGGGCATTTAGTAATGCATCAGGCACTGTGCTAAACACTTGATATGCATTATCTTACAGAGTCTTCAAACCAGACCTATAAACACTGTTCATTTTATGAAAGATAAAACTGAGACTTAGAAAATCAAAGAACCTTGCCCAAGGCCACAAAGCCACGAAGGGTTAGGCCATGATTCAGACTCAGGTTTGACTGTCTTCTAAAGCCAAACTCCCAACCCCTGGGTTATATTTCATCTGTTCCTCTAAATACATTTTTTTGAGGCTTAGCGATGCCAACTTACTCAGCTATCAGCGAATGAGTGGAAACACTGAGACTGGAACCTAAGCCATCAGTGTTAAGTCAGTGGTCCTCCACACCTTCCACAGTCCCCTGATTTAATACCCCGACACTGCTCGGTCAGCAGTATTCACAGGCAGACAAACACACAGGAGAAAAAAAAAAAACAAGAGAAAACGCTATCCGGGGTCACAGGTACAGAGTAAGCTGGCTCTCTCTCTCTCTCTCTCTCTCTCTCCCCCACTTTACCATTTAAAGTCAGAAGGAAAACAGAGGAAAGAATGCACATTTAGATGTAGCAGGAAAAAAAAAACGAAACTAAATATTACTTTAGCCTAATTTAAGGCAGCTGTATAATCTATATGTTAGGAGAAAGAGAAACAGTTCAAATGACAGAAAAGCGGTAGTATATGGATTAAACAAGAACATGTGTTTAAATATTTAAAGACCACATTTTAACATGTGCAAGCCAGTAACAAAAATGGAAATACATGAAATAAAGCTAATATACCTTTCTTTCATAAAAGACTAAAGAAACATACAAAGAGAAATGCTTAGTATTGGAGGCTCTAGAATGCAATCCTTCAATGAGAGAAGAAACTCCACAAATTAATCCACCATGGTTGTAACAAAGCACATTCACATGAGATATTTTACAATCCAATCATGCGTAGGTTAGAAAATAGATCAATGCCTTAAATCAATGACATTTAAACAGTTATTAAAAATCCTCTCTAAAAACAATTATAAATAGCAGAGCCCAATGCAGTCTAGCATGAATGCTAAAAATTAATAATGTCCAAAAATAGGTTTTTGAAAGCAAGTTGTGATAAAGTAATTTATCCCAATCTTCTCTTCCTCAAAAAGCGGTGATTTCTGCTCTAACTCTGGTCATGTACTTGTTCTTGAATCTTTGCTGCTTTCTCTGGCAGTCTACTCAAGAATTTAAATAATTACTAGGCTTTATGGAGCAGTAAATTCAATATAATGTTTTAGAAAACCCTCTTAATTCATTTTTCAACAAATATTTGTAAATGGCATTTGAAAGTAAGGCTTTTTTAATTTAAACACTGCCACAGACCAGAGTCCCAGGCTGAGAGGCCGCTAAATGGAACACTACTTCAAAAGTAAAATTCATTATGATGAATGTGCCAGTGAAATTAGAATCCACTAACGCTAATTGGATACATTCTAAGTGCATTAAACTTCTGAAGAAATTTCCATGAACGCTTTGCAATTTCCCATGAACACCCATGCATGGCTGCACTTTGGATTTACCCACAATTTGACACAATATAGGTTATTATGCTTAATAACTTTCGATCTCTCAGGGTGATTTCATAGTCTAAAGAAATGAGAAAAGCTACAATGTGAAAATGCTACTTCTTAAAGGAAGGGAAAATGATGTATGAAAAATCTTTAAGAGTACAAATAAAGGAAACACATCATTTTGTTTTTTCAAATATATGCATTGTATTGCTGGATGGTCACCATGAAAACCTAATACACAAAAATCGGAACTTGTCAGCCTAAAGAAATGATTAAAAATGTCATGAATGGTTTTGCAGGTAATTTCAAGGAGAGTTATCAATGACTAGATTACATTTACACAGTGATCGGTGAGCGAGTCTGGGGCATCCGGGCAACACCTCCAGCTGGCAAGATCAATGGCACTGGAGACAACCCCATTAGCTCACACAAGATCTCTTGGCACCTCTGTCAGAACCGGAACATGGGGCTCAAGGAAGAAAGGTCCAATGAGCAATACCAATGTTCTCACAAACCGCCAGCAGAGCAGAAAGAAACCCACAGGTTTGCATATATGGATATAAACATAAGGTGTTGACAGAAGAGGAAGGGAGGCCTCTAACTCCCCACCTTGTGCTGCAGATGGCAGAGATGCATGCGAGTCTCCAAGGTCGCTGAGGCCTCATACATGCTTTAACACAACCCAGAAAGATAGCAGCACACAGTGAGGGCATTGTTCTTATTCTACAGTCACTGATGCATGGACCTCTACAATGATATACAAGAGTGCAGTGTTCATGACGAGTATGTCAACACAATGTGGCATTCCTTATACATAGCTGCTGAGAGGTGGTGACCGACCACAAAGTAGGGCAGCTTTAGGAATGTCAGGGTACTAATGTGTTCCCTAGGCTGGCCTTCCAGCGTCAGAGCGCCCCTCCCTGACTCTTTTCTTACCCTACCCAAGGGAGTTATGAGGACATCTGCTTCACTACTGAGCTTTCCTTCCCACTTCACACCAGTTCAGCATAAGTCTGCTGCTGGTTTAGCATGAGCCTGATGTATGTTTAGTCTTCACAGAGGAGGTGCTCAAGGCCAAAGATAACATGCAGTGCCTCTGTTTCACCTCCCAGAAAATAACTGTTGGCGAAGAGGTACAACAAGCCAAATTCCACTTTTTCTTAATGTAGTGAGGAGTATCCCCATTGTACAAGACACGTTTCCGATGCAAAACATCAATTTTTGCACATCTGCCCAATAGTAGCTTAATTATAAACAGGCCCATCAGACTGACACAACAGTTGCTTTCACTGCTCAGTTCCTGTCATGCTGCAGAGAGCAGAAAAGCACTCTGCGGCAGCCACAGTACAATTTTCCAGGAAGACTCGTTAATCTTTACACAGTCATCCTCATGCAGCCATCAGAGTAAACTAAATGATAACCCAGTTAAAATAAATTACTCTGAGGAACTCGTAAGGATCAGGTAAAAAGCAAACCGCATGTGACATCTCTTCAGTCCTCCCCGTGACGGCGTGTAATTGTCACCATCTGTGCTGGTTGCTCTGCTTGCCCAGTCTATAACCTCGCATGCCCCCAGACCCACTCTTTGCCCTTCTCTGTCCTGTGGATCTCGGGAGGCTGACCTCTGTGGACCACAGGCCTGTGCCTGCATCAGCTGGGCCCAGACCCTGGGCCCAGACCGGAAGAGCTTGGAGGCTGGAGCAGAGTGATGTCAGGCATTAGCCACCTCTCCTCAGTGCTCCTGCAACCAGGCAGCCCACTTCCAGGGCTAGCTCTGCTCTCTCAGCTTGCTTGCTCCCTTACCCCTCCAGGCTGAGTGTACTCCCAGCTCAGCTGCTGCTAATAATCCCTGGGTGCTTCCCCAAACCTGCCCACACCTCTATAAACAATCTTTCACTATACTCTCTTTGGTCTAACACAGTCTAAACACCTGTGGCTGGGCAGGACCCTGGCAGACACAGTCAGCAGCCAGGGCCTCCAACCTGTGATCACTTACATGGACGGTGTGGACCAGATCAGCCATCAGGCACTGCTTCAGCTTCTCGTCGCTGCTGGTCCCGTGGAGCACCAGGTCAGGCATGTACGTGGGGCAATAACCCGCCAGAAGGGAGCGGCCAAAGTTTCTTACATTCGGGTTGCTGATACTCTGAGACCTAAAACCATATTGGTCCGTTAGAATACATAATAAAAAATAGGCTCCCAGCTGGGAAACCAGGAGACTGTGTCACTGGACCCTACAGGACACCTACTACAATAGGCCACCCTAGATAGCCCAGGAGACATACTAATTCTACCTAATACACAGAAACAAACACAGGGAAGCAGCCAAAATGAAGAGACAAAGAAACATGTCCCAAATGAATAAACAGAACAAAACTCCAGGAAAAGAACTACACAAAATGGAGATAAGCAATCTAACAGATGCAGAGTTCAAACCACTGCTTATAAGGATGCTCAATGAACTTAGTGAGAACTTCAATGAACTCAGTGAGGGCCTCAAGAGCATAAAAAAGGACCAGTCAGAAATGAAGGAAGCAATAACTCTGTAAATTATTCTTTACTTTAGTTAGTTGAAATAATTTACAGAGATTCAACAGTAGAGTAGGTAAAGCCAAGAAGCAAACCATCGATTTGGAATATAACACCCAATCAGAACAGCAGAAAGAAAAAAGAATCCAAAAAAATGAGGATAGTATAAGGAGCCTCTGGGACAACTTCAAGCGTACCAACATTCGCATCTTGGGGGTGCAAGAAGGAGAAGAGAGAGAACAAGAAATTGGAAACCTATTTGAAACAATAATGGTAGAAAACTTTCCTACCGTGGTGAAGGAAACAGACATACAAGTCCAGGAAGCACAAAGAGTCCCAAATAAGACGAACCCCAAGAGGCCCACACCAAGACACTTCATAATCAAAATGCAAAAGGTTTAAGACAAAGAGAGACTCTTAAAAGCAGCAGGAGAAAAGCAGTTAGTCACCTACAAGGGAGCTCCCATAAGACTACCAGCTGATTTCTCAAAAGAAACTTTGAAGGCCTGAAGGGAGTGGCAAGAAATATTCAGAGTGATGAAAAGCAAGAACCTACAACCAAGATTACTCTATCCTGCAAAGCTATCATTTAGAATTGCTGGACATATAAGGAGTTTCCCAGACAAGAAAAAGCTAAAGGAGTTCATCACCACCAAACCATTATTATATGAAATGTTAAAGGGTCTTCTTGAAAAAAAAGATAAAAAACATGAAAAAAATGGCAATAAATATATATCTATCGATAATTGAATCTACAAACAAAATGAACAGCAGAACAGAAACATTCTCATAGAAACAGAGAACATTTTGTTGGCTGCCAGATTGGAGGGAATTGGTGAAAAAAGGTGAAGGTGTTAAGAAGTACAAATTGGTTGTTAGACTGACGAACCTCAAAAGGAAGGGGGTTGGGAGGTAGGAAGAAATAAACCAAAGAACGTATATGCATATATGCATAACCAATGGTCACAGACAACAGTCTGGGGAAAGGCAGGAGGGGGGCGGGAGTGGGGATGAGGGGGGAAAAGGAGGAACATCTATAATACATTCAATAATAAAGAGAAGTTAAAAGGGGGTGGCTCCCTCCTATGTTCTATTGGAACAAAAGTCCCAGTGACACAGGTCAGACTCAGGGCAGCCATCTCATCAGTCCTCCAGTAAGCAGATCATTCGTGTCAGAAGACAGAGGGGGTTGGAGAGTAAAAGGAGTTTTGTTTTCTTTTTCTAATGGTAATGCAGGAAGAAAACAGTACGTTGATGACTGGTTACGAGTTTGCTCTTATATCTCACGTGGAACGTCCACCAGGCAGTCTGTGTCCAGGGAGTGAAGAAAGAGAAAGCCTGCAGGGGAGCTTGCCAAAAGTCTGGCTTTAGGAACCTGACACATCTGCAAGGGTGGTGCCCAGGACAGAGCAGAACAGAAGTCTCCAACTACTGCTCATAGACCAAATAATTGACCTGGTGGAGTGTTAGGAAAAAGTTGTTCTCAGCCGCTTTCACGCTCCTCAGACTGACAGGAGAGAAGCTGCCCCTAGTGCCCTCCACCTCCTCCCGAGCAAGGCGTCTGCTGCCAGCTGTGCAGCCCCATCTAGACGACAGAACATACCCCTCCCTGCTCCCACCACCTCTGCATCCCCTCGCTTCCCCAGATGTCCCAATCACTGCAAAGATGCCCAGCTGCCCCCTCACTCAGAGCGCTTGGATGCACTCAGCCAGGGGTCATCCTCAGAGAAAGGGCAGGCTGGAATCTGTATTGGTTGGATAACGCTTCTAATACTTTGAGAAAAAAACGTGTGTGAAACTGCCAACAGCAGCTAACATGATCACGGCCATACTCAAACCCAGTTCTCCCTGCACCCCAGCCTGCTGGCATTACCTGGGCAGAGGCAGCTCCACTTCCAGTGACCCTTCGGTCCAGTCACTGCTATGACCAAGATTCAGTGCAGCTGAAGCACATGCTTCATCATCGCTGTCTCCAAGAGCGCTATCCGAGCTCTCATTTCTGGGAATGTCTCCTTCAGTCCTGAAGTTGGCTGTTCCATTGGTATCCCCACAGGGGACATCTGTAGCGACTGAGACGCCAGAGTCCTGCTGCACACACCTGCTGGGCACAGGCTCTACCAAAGACCCCTCCTCCTCCTTCGGATACAAACCCCTGGTTCTCTCGGGCACTCTCTGTCCAGTCCCTGCAGCACTGGCATCAGGTGCAGGTGAGTCAGCAGCGGGGCCAAGCGGCCCAACAGCATCTGCTGCAGCCTTGGTTCTGAAGCCTCTGTCCTCAGCATAAGCCCTGTCAAATTCACCTTCATTCCCCTCGGATGGCCGATTCTGAGGACAGCAGACCGTCTGCCGGAAGCCAGGCAGGAAGGAGCACCTAGAAACCTGCTGGTCCTGAGCCATGGCAGTGGCCACCCTGGGCTCACCCACGGGACAACCTGCCAACTCTGGGTACTGTCTGCAGGCCTTTAGCCACTCCTCCATTTTCTGAGTGCGGCTTTCAAGGTCGGACTCTGGAGATACGGAGCTTCCAATCTGGAAAGTGACCTTTTCTAAGGGAGGCTTCTCCCGGGAAAGTCTGTCTGGGCAAGGCCAGGCGGCTGACCGGTCTGGTAGCTTCTTAGGCATCTCTCCTTTCAACTCCTCACTGATCTTCGATCCTGTCCCCAAAGCGTCACTACTGGAGAACCGTGAACAGCCATCTGGTGGGGCCTCTTTTTCACTTTCTTCATCCCCACAAAATGCATCCTGAGGTTTCCAAGAACTGTCCACGGCTGGGTCCTGGTAGCCCGTGCTGCAGGCCGCAGAACTCTTGTTTCCTTCTTTGTCAGGTTTGGGACATAGGTCTCTAATGTCACTGTCCTCTGGGGTCCCAGTCGGGTCCTCGGGCCCAGGGCCCCTTCCCTCAGTGGTCACCATCGCCGGTGGCAGGATGGGGGGAAGGAGAGCAGGTTCGCTTCTCACCGTGACGACCACATACTCCGACTCCTCCACCTCCCCCCTCTCCAAGGCTGTCGTGATGCTGCTCCCATTCAACACCTGGTCCCCTTCTCCATGATTCCCACTCCAGGTCAGCTGGTTCTCTTGCAGCTCAGAGCAGCGGAGGAAGTAGGTCAGGACGTAAAGTATGCGCTGGACCAAATCCTTCTGCTTCCCCACCACCACGGTGCGCGTCAGCCTCACCGGAGAGCCGATGGCTCCGTAGAGATCGCCTACAGAGCCAAGTGGACACAAGGACAAAGTCATCTAGGGTGAGCATGTCACGAATACGTCGGCTTTTACAAGAGAAAAACAGATGACTTAGTCCTAAACTAGAGTTGCTCGTCACACAACTAATTGAGGCAAAAAGGTAATGTCCTAGTAGTGGTTATATTTTGGTTTTGCCTCTATAGTGGAGAGTCTGCCTCAAAAGGCTGGGCACAGGTTGCAGCCCGCCACTCCTGGTGCAAGGGGACAGCGCCGGTACACACAGCCCCTCGGCAGGTCAGCCCATGCAGCTCACTGGCTGGCCAACTCCCACCCTCCAAGGAAGGCTGAAGCCAGAGCCCTGAATATGTGACCAAATCAAATACTGTATCTTGGAAACTAGAATGATGAGACTTTTTCAGAAGAACTCCTGGACAAGAGACCTTGGGGTGAAATCCAAATTCAAAGATCACTGAATTGAAGTGCAGTGAATCAATTCAAAATACTTAATGAAATGGCCCGTTTAGAATTATCTCAATTTACACACCTGCACCAATTAGACTCAATTTGATCAATAAAAAAGAAATCCCTTAGTCAAGAATACTATGATTCTGAATATGAATGAATCTGAATATTTCTATTACTTCACATGAAAATGCTGCTGGAAAAAGTATGTCCCATAAGTTATATCCTGACAAGCTGATTAAAAATTTAGGCTAATGAACCATGAACATTTGGCTTAAAGGGCAAATGTGTCAATGAGCCCAGCAGTATAAGCTTTTCATCACAAGCATTGGTCAAGCCCTGGCCGGGTGGCTCAGTTAGTTGGAGCATCATCCCATACACCAAAGGCTGTGGGCTTGATTCCTACTCAGGGCATATACCTAGGCTGCAGTCACAATCTCCAGTCAGGGTGTGTACGGGAGGCAGCCAATTGATGTTTCTGTCTCACATCAATGTTTCTCTTTCTTTCTCTCCCCCTTCTCTCTCTAACATCAATAAATACATATTGAGTGAGGTCTAAATAAATAAAAGTATCGGTCAAGTGCCTGGATTAAAATCATTGCACTTGACAAGTTACATATAGTAACAATGATGACAATTACAACAAAAAGCCAACATTTACAGACTGTACAGGCACAGTGCTCAATGTCTGATGTGGATTTATCTCGTTTACACCTCTACATAACCAACCCAGGTTTAGAAACCATTATGGGAATAATCAAAATGTTGGAATAAATCAAAACCTCTACATAAAGGAGAGGAGAACATAATAGCTATAAATAACTCAGGAAGTCAGAACCCATGTGAGGAGTGCATCTGGAGAGAGGAGGGAAGGCATTAATAAGGGCACAGGATAGATAAAACTAATGAATTTGATAGATTAAGACTGAAGAATTTATGGGAACCCTCAGGAAGTACCTCCTGTGGACTGTTCCCTAGGGTAACGCTACTGCTCCCAAGAACCGAAAGGGCAGGACAGAGACATTCAACAGTCCTCTCTGTGACAAGATGGATGGCAGCCTACCAGAGCTTTATCTTTGAGGCTTTTGCAGCTGACTGAGAAATCATCCAAGAATTCAGAAGAATAACTCAGAACTGTAGTCTAAGCTAGGACAGATACTTCTGTTTGAGAAAACGTTCTTGACTAAGAATTTACTGTTACTTCCCAGAGATTACATGGCCCGCTGCTGCAGGGCATCCCGGCCATGGCAGGCATTCATCGGACACTTGTTAAACCAGTCTCGATGTTAATAAAGAAGATAAGCTTTACACATCCGAAATCTGGTATAAAAAAAACCACAGCCCTGGCTGGTTTGGTATAGTGGTTAGAGCATTGGCCCATGGACCAAAGAGTCACGGGTTCGATTCCAGTCAAGGGCACTTTGGTTGTAGTTTGGTCCCTGGTCCTGGTTGGGGTCATGCGGGAGGCAACCAATTGATGTGTCTCTCTCATATTGATGTTTCTCTCTCTCTCACTCCTACTCTGTCTGAAAATAAATGGAAAAATATCCTCGGCTGAGGATTAAAAAAAAAAAAAAACCACAGAGGAAAGGCCACTCAGAATGACAATATTAGTTTTCAATGTATTTAATATTTTAATAACTAAGTCATAAGTTTAAAAAAGTAAAACAAAGATGGCTATTACAAATACAATTTATAATAGTTTAAACTCTATAAAGTAATGAGAGTAATGTGTGTGGATAACGCCATTACTTTAGGGCCAGACTTCATAAAAATAATGCACCAATAACAGACCTGCAATATTAAAGATTTACTGGATCTTGAGCTCTAAGGCATTTTTTTGAGTCCCAGACTGACAAAGTTACTAATTTTAAAATAGATTCATTCCGTTGTTCTCCTGAGTATAATTCTGCAAAATGAAGGCAAGGTGCACAACCACGTGAATGGACTCAACACTACTGAACTGTGCACTTGAATGGTTAAGATGATAATGCTATGTTCTGTGCTTCTTTTTTAAGCACAATTTAAAACACAAACTTAAATTTAAGAAAAGCAGAAAATGGGCGAAAGACAGAAAAAGAGATGCAGGTAAAACAGAGAGAGGGCAGAGACAGAGAGTATATGAAGCAGGGAGGGGTGCGGACAGCCTGAGAGCACAGATCAGGGAACGCAGACAAACAGGGGTACACAGAGTGGACACCAGAAAGGGAGCAGAGGAACAGAGAGTGCAGCTATGGTAGGAAGAGGGGAAGAACAGACAAAGTGTAAGGAGAGGAAAAGAAAAAGAAGGGAGATGATGAATGGAGAGGAACAAAATGATAGAGAATAGGAGAGACGCACAAGAGGTTGGAGCAGAGGTGAGGAAGGCAGAGAGGGAAAAGCATACATAGGAAAAGAAAACAGAGGGCGAGGGGAAGAAAAAAGATGCCCAGGAAAAGTGAAAAGACAGAAACACAAAGCAGAAAGAGAGGGGACAGAATAAGAAAGGGGGAGAGAATGAGGTGAGAAACAGATAATTCTGCAGCGTCTTAAAGGGAATGGACAACTGAGACGGTGAGAGAGGTGGGGGAACAGGGAGATGGAGCAACAAAGGCAGTGGAGAGAGAAACTGAGAAAATTAAAAAGGAGACAAGGAGAAAAACTAATTATCTTAAAGGGCTGCTTATTCATTGATTACATTCTAATCAACATGTATATGCTATGAAGTCCCTTTAAACAGTGTTGCCCTCATGCTAAACATTGTAACTTATTTTATCTTTATTATCATTTATTTCAAACTATTCTGTAATTTCTCTTGCGAAGTATGGGCTATTTAAATGTGGTTGTTTAGTTTCTGAGCAAGTGGACATTTTCTCCTTATATATATTTTTTATTTATAGTCTAATTCCACTGTATTCTGAAACATACAATTTAAACTTCTGGAGGAAAAAATAAAGAAGAAATTTCAGATTCTTATACTTGTATTAATTTAAACCAATGATCCCAAAGCTTTTATTTAGAGGAGAAAAACTGCTTTTCATTTCCATAAATTCTTGAGGTCATCAGGTTAAAAAGGGACCCACATGAAACTCCTCGATTCAGTCAGTGGTGAAAGACAATGGCTTTCCAACATTGTATATCCATCCCAAGAAAGAAACACATTTTAGACTGCAACCTCACACTCCCTCTAAAACAAAACATTTTACAAAACACCTGTCACTCTGATACTTTCCATTCTATTGTACGTTCTAAATGCTCTTTTGACCTACTAAGCAGCTTGCACAACAACCCACTAATGGGTGGTTAGTCACACTTAGAAAAACCTGTATGCAGAAAGCATGTGTTAGGCAGAAGTGGGGATGCTAAGCTCCCGAACAGCAAGCCAAGGAGAATGTGAAGGGCTTGGCTTGTTGCTTCCAGCTTCTTTTTTCATTTTCCTGGGAATGCTGAAAAAATCAGGCAGAAGTGGGCATAGCAGTGGTACTGTTATTGTTGTAATTAACTGGTTAATATTAATAACAGAAAGAGAGCAAAGGGGAGGCCAGACATTATAAGCATGGCCATTTGGGCAGCTTCACCAGGAAGCCATAGCTTCATGCTCCCTAGGGAACCACTGGTCCATTCCCTGCAGATCGCTGGGGCAAGGAATCGAACAAAGGGGGAGATGGGCACATGCACAGTGAAGTTGGTGTGATGTAGGGAAGGTAGGTGCCTGTCAGTCTAGTCTGGGGAACAATGGATTGTCTAGGGGGCGGACTCTAGCAAAAGTGTGCAAAATCTTGGAAAGTCAAAATTCCAAAGAGTTCCCTCTCTTGTTCTTGCTCGTCCTTGATCACTCTTGCTCCATGACCCACATTCACCTGTGCACTCACCTGTTCTCTCTCCATAGTCATGTGGCCTTAAGCAGCTGCATGGTCCATGGTCATGCGGACCCCATATGCAATGGACTGTAGCTGAGAACACAAAATAAGCTAGCCAGATGCTGAACTGGTTTGTACTTAAATATGGAGCAGACATTTTGGGCAGTTGCCTTAATTCTGGCCCTGCCAAAGATGAGACTAGATGTCTTCCATGGTGAGAAAGACAGAGATGAGACCTTGGAAGGTAACCCCCTTAATCTTACATCATCAATAAAGCTTTCCATGACACCCCATCCTCTCATGGACGCCTCCAAAAATTCTTTTCCTCATGGCACTTACACTGACTGATAACAGATGGTGACCCAGATGGGACCCACACTGAGAGGAATATCAGCGAGTAGAAAACATCCCTCCACTTCCACTGGTAACAGTACCTGTCCTGGCAAGCTCTCAGATATGCCTTTAAAATAATTCAAGACAGAACATTCTCTATTATTTAGGAAGCTGCATTAAAATGGTATCTGCACCAGTGTTTATTCCCAGTAATTTATATTTTCCTGTTTACTATGACTTGGTAAACAGTTAATGAAAATATAATCATATTTGGAAATAAGTGTCTTCCCCTGTCAAATTATTGAAGCCTCTTGATTTTCTTTCTTTCTTTTTTTTGGTGGTACATGCCCCTAGTGGAAACCGAACCCAAGACTCTCTGGTCTGCAGGCCAACGCTCAACCGCCGAGCCAAACTGACCAGGGAGCCTCTTGATTTTCGGTATAATGAAAACCCAACCACCATTTAACTTGACTTTACAAAGCTATGGCATAACTCTGCACTAGGGCCTCATCCCCTCCTCACAACACTTTGTCAACAGCCAGATACTGTTAGACTGTTTGGGGGAGGGAAGCATGGGACACTCCATAATACATGATCTCCTTTGAAAAGGACTGTGAGACCATAGGAAAGGACTTTGCCTTGTTAAGTTGAACAAAGGGAATTAATGGCTCTCAATTAGTAAAATTTCAAATGAGAAGCACATCTAATATCATTTATCAAATGAAATGCATACTGCTTAATTAACATCATTTTTCGTTGGGTGACCTGGCAGCATGTAACCATGCTTCCTTAACATCCAGCCCTCTTCCCTTCATGGTGACCACTTGATAACACGACCCTTCTTCAGGACCACTGGTCCGTAACAAGAACAATAATGCTCTGTCCTCCTCTGGAAGAAACATATGCCCCAGAGTGAGTTAGGCACACTCTGAGTACTTCTGAGCTCAGTACTGATGGCTTGTATTAAATCCATTTTAACATCCACAAATTCTTCATTAATTAATCAATTCCTTATTAATTCATTTAACATGCACTTATTATCTCCCTAACAGTGAGACAGGTATCCTCTTTCTTACACATCTCATGGCCCAGGGCACAAGGGCAACACATCTTTATTACCTATAAAATGAGGGCAAGAGCCCTGAACAGTATGGTTGAATGGTTAGAGCGTTGGCCTGAAGGGTCATAGGTTCGATTCCTGACCATGGGCACATTCTGGGTTGAGGGTTTGTTTAATCCTCACTCGGGTTGGGGTTGTGCAAGGGCAACCAATCGATGTATCTCTCTCACATTAATATTTCTCTCTTTCTCTATCTAGCCCTCCCTCCCTTCCACTCTATCTAAAAATCGATGAAAAAATAGCTTCGGGTGAGGATTAACAAATAAACAAATAAATAAAATGAGGGCAATACTAATAGATTGGAACGAGCATCTAATTAATTAACATGTAAAAAGCACTGAACATAGTGCTTGGCTCACAGTGACAACTCTCATTGTTGTAATTATAATCTGCTGTTTTCTAAGACCTCCAATATTAATGGTTTCATCAGCAGCAACAGTAACAAAGATGCTTTATACAAAACTAACTGAATTCCCACAGCAATCATGAACTATTTTCACCCCATTTTACAGATGAAGAGACTGAGTCAGAGAAGTTAAGTCACTTGCCCATGGACACTGGATTTGATTTGGGCAGTTCTGGCTCTGGCACCCATGTTCTTAGTCTCCTGTATCCTTTTTGCACACCCCCATCAAAGGACTACCCAGGACATCCTGAAATCATCCAAATACAAATCTCCCTCCTCCGCTGGGCAGCAAGCTTCCTGAGGCTAAGCAGTGCACGGCATTCGGCTCCATATCCCTGGCACCTGGCACAGGCTCTAGGACAGTGAGTGTGCACGTTTTACTTTGTCACCCTAAACATCTGATAAATGAACCCAAAACACTCAAAACTGGTCTCATAAGTCCCAAACTCTGTACCCAACTATGACAAAGCATTAGATTCCTATACCATGCCTCGGTATAAAGCTTTGAGGAAATAATGCCACCAACTAATTGCAGGGAAGCAGAGTAGGAAAAAAATAAGGTTTCTGACTTCTACTAAAATTGAAAAGGTGGTAAAATTATAGTGTGCTACTTTCTTTTCTGTCTTTTCTCCTATCCAGTTCATCCTCTAGGGCAGTGGTTCTCAACCAAGGGCTATCTTGCCCCCCCACCTCAGGGGACACTCAGCAATGTCTGAAGAAATTTTTAATTGTCATAACTTCGGAGGGAGTCTTTCATTGGCAGCTAGTGAACAAAGGCCAGCGATGCTTCTGAATGTCCTACACCTACAATACACAAGACAGGCCCCACCCCCAGCAAAGACTTCTGTGGTCCAAAGGGTGATAAAGCCGAGGTTGAGAGACCTTGCTCTGAGGTGATTTGCTGCATGTCTGGGAGAACACAGCGTACTCACACAGCTTTAAAAGAGCGGAACAAAGCTGCTAGCAGGGAAAGGTGAGGAAGCTGGTAGCCTCACAATCAGAAATTGGTGGGCCAGTCTCCAACTCCCTGCATCACCAGATTGGATAGTTAACATCAACGAAAAATCCTAGCATTTCCCCTATTCCATCTCATGCAGTCTCTGAATCATCAAGTCAGGTACTAACCCAGCTGTGCCCAGAGAGGATTATACGGATGTGTTTTGGCCAGCGTGTTCACTGACTGAGAGGTGCGTTTCTCTGAGAAGGCTTTAATGGGAGGGTGATCAACAGGCATGACAGTCGGTACCCAGGCCAGGTGATAGGTTAACACTGCAGTCAGTAAGGCAGCAAAAAACCTTCAAGAAAGGGAAGAAAATACAACCAGGTGAGTCAACGCAGGAAGAGGCATGTCATATACACAAGATACACTGGCCGCAGAACACACACCCCGCACTCCAAAGAGCCAAAGCTTACTGGTTTTTGTTGATCTGTTCTATCAGAAGTGTGAACTCCTTGAGAAAGCGCTGGCAGAGCTGAGTTTTTTCCAAGGTGCTGGACATCATGGTAAGCCACACAGGTTCCGCTATCCTTGGAACAGAATATAAGTTCCAGATAGTCCCTCTATGAAAAGAGAAGAAATACACAGAACTGTCACAAACATTATTTTGGATAATCTTTATATAAAAGAATAAAGAAGATAACAATAAACTGAATCTATGTAGGACTCAAGTGACTCATGCAGAATAGAAAATAGGGGTCAGCACACTATGACCCACAGGCCAAATCTGTCACCTCTTTTGTAAATAAAGTTTTACTGGAACAATTATGTTCATTCAGTACATATCACTGCTTTTGCACAATGGCTAGCTATAAAACACATCCACCCATCCCAAATCAAAATAGATGAGGTATATTCTGACTTGGTTTTCTAGCTGTGTGCATAAAAGAATCAAGACACAATTGAATTCCACCTTGCCAAAAACAGAGCATTTGCTGACGTAGGTAGCAATGACAAGTTACAGTCACAAGGAACTGGGATTCATTTACTAAAACTAAAGTCTCCAAGTGCTAACACTTTATTTTGTCCCCATTTCTGGAGGGACAGGTTGTTGAAGGAAGAACAAGACCTCTCTATGTTCACTGTAAGTGAGGGTTTCTGGCTCTATACCGTCAGATTCTTGACCTCTGGAAAATTGATACTCTCATTAAACTAGTGACCAGACTCTCAAGCACAAGCCAGCTTCTGGTCAGACCACAGCAGGCAACAGTCAAGTACAGTGCTATCCTCACAAACTGCAGAAGACAACTTCATACTACCTACTCCTGACACAGATGACTTAGGTCTTAACAATCACCAGATAGACTAACATATTCCTTGAGTACTTTATACATAACAAGGATACAAAAAAGGCTGGGAATATTGCTCCAAGTGGCATTACAGAGAGCCCTTGTTTATCGCGGTTAATCAGTTCCAGACTCTACCACGACAAATGAATTTCCACGAAGTAGGATGCTTTATTAATATACAGTTGTCCCTCGCCACTTCGCACTTACTATATTTGAAAAAACCACGAGAGAGTAAAGCCCCGAAAGTCAAAGCACGAAGTGGCAAGGGACAGCTGTACAGAGCTCACCAGCATATATCTTAAGCATCACAAAAATGTTCTAAGAACTGTAAAATTTTTTGTGCCTCAGCTCCAGAGTAATAATTTGACTCATTCGCTCCTGACTGCCTTGGAGTGGGACGCGATTTCCCATGGAGAAGTCCGCTCTAAGAAATGGTGTGACAATCCCAGCTTCGCACAGTGAAAGCAAGTCCTACCTGCTACCCAAGGCAAGTTACCTTTCCACCCAAGACATTAGGGACAAGGACTCTAGAGAACTGGTGTCCAAAGTACAAAGCTCATGACTCAGAAACTAACAATGAAGGCACACTATAATATCATCATATAACTTCATGTTCAAACCAGGGCATTTATGGGACAACTCACTGGGTATAAAACCAGGACTGCCCTGGCAAGTGGGAATGTATATTTCCCTGAGATACATACTCTCACCATCTATGCTTTGGACGAGCATCCTTGAACTCAAGTTTCCACATCTGTAAAGTGGGGTAATAGTGCCTACTGTTAGGGCTTTTGTGAGGGTGACATGAAATAATGAACAGGCTTATAAGAGACTCTGGAACATTTGTTTCCTTCATTCATCCTGTTAAAAAACAATTATATCAAAGGCCATCTGTCAGGCAGTAGTGAGGATTACTCGGTGCTAGGTGACTTAAATTTTGTGCTCCTCTGATCTTAGTTTCCTCCTTAAAGGAAGGAGCTGCTAAAGTGACTAATACCTGCCAGCCCCCAATTCTTCCAAGTCATGGTCTCTATGTCTCCCCAGATCCATGGCTGCCACTGTTACTCAGAAATTTGCTAGATTCGACAAACTTTGGGAATTTACCTGAATTCTCCCAGAGCTTCCATCAGACGGCTGACATAAAACTGGACCCGGAGACTTGATTCTGCTATCTTCCTACAGGAGATCATGGCCTTCATTGGAGAGAAACAAGCCAAATTACCGTCCGGTGAAGAAAATGCTGTATAATTATCTAATGGGCTTTATTAATAAAAGATAGTATCATAATCAAAACACTCAAGGTAGTGATGCCTGAAGTCATCAGGAAGCAGTACTTCCTCTCCTGAAGCCATGCTGTATCCGATATCTAATATTAATGGTTTACGTTCTCTGGGAACGTGATCTGATACCTAAACAAAGAGACTGCCACTTTTAAAGACCCATAATCACTTCTCTATTTGAATACCATCACATTCTTATTACCTTTTCAATTGCACTCTTCAGCCTGTTCATGTGAGACTCAAACAGGGGGAAATGGGAAAAAAAGAAGTCCTGGAAGTCCCTCTGGGCTTCTTCTTTCTCACACAGGGAAAAGATGATGCTTATGGCAATTTTCTTCCTCCTAACAATGGCTGGATTAGAACTACAGGTTTCTTCAGCCAAGCTGAATGTCTCGTCAGTTGACCTGGAGGGAAGCAAGTTTGGAGAGTTGCTTCAGGGCATCACACTGAAGACAGACTCTGGTGTGAGTGGATGGCATTCAGGTGGCTAATCCAGAACACTCAGAGTCTTAACCAGGCGCTGATCTACTTCTCACTCATTCACTTCTATAATTCTCTGTCATAAAAAAATAAAAATATATCGCCCTGGCCAGTTTGGCTCAGCGGTTAGAGCGTTGGCCTGCGGTCCGGAGAGACCCGGGTTCGGTTCCCGCTAAGGGCACGTACTTCGGTTGCAGTTTGTCCCCGACCCTGGTTGGTCGTGTGGGTGGCAGCCACTTGATGTGTCCCTTCACGTCGATGTTTCTCTTTCTCTCTCCCTTCCTCTCTCTCCCTCCCACTCTATCTGTACAAAAAATGGAAAAATATCCTCGGGTGAGGATAAAAAAAATAAAAAATAAAATAAAAAATAAAAATATAGCTTACAACCCAACACTATTCCAACATGAAAAACAACAAATAAAAACTGAAAGAAAGTACAGGCCTGGCTGGGTAGCTAAATTGGTTAGAAGGTCGTCCCCATACGCCCAAGTTGCAGGTTTGACCCCTGGTCAGGGCACATACAGGAATCAACCAATAAATGCATAAACAAAGGGAACAACAAACTGACATTTCTCTCTCTCTCCCTCTCCCCCTTCCTCTCTCTCTAAAAATCAATCAATAAAATTTTTTTAAAAAACCACCTGAAAGTAATTTCAGATGTTCCCCAGTTAGACTCTTAGTCCTTTCCCTAGGACTATTTTGTTTTCTTTCTTTCTTTCTTTTTTTTGTTAATCCTCACTTGAGGATATTTTCCTGTTGATATTTAGAGAGAGTGGAAGGGAGGGAGAGAGGGGAAGAGGGGGGAGAGAGAGAGAGAGAGAGAAACACTGAAATGAGAGAGACACACTGATTGGTTGCCTCCCTCACGCACCCCTCCAGAGGCTAGGGATAGAACCTGCAACCCAAGTATGTGCCCTTGACCAGGAATCAAACCTGTGATCCTTCGGTGCACAGGCCGATGCTCCAACCACTGAGCCACCCAGGCCAGGGCTCCCTTGGACTATTCTGCATCAGATTGGTGGTATTTAGGGAGGAGTGCGAAACATCTGTTCACTCAAAACATGAGCCCTTTGTTCTGGTTAACAGACATCAATAGATAAGAATGTGGGAAGACAACGAATCCCATGTGGTATTTCATTTAACCAAGGATCATATTTGGCTATTTACTGGTAGATGAGGCTCACTATCCCAAGGCTGTTCAAATTAGATGAAGTTACCCTCATAAATGTACAGATTAAGCCATGCAGCTGACTTAACTCCCTGGGAAATCCCCCAAACAGAAAGTTCCACCTCTCTTCTGGGATAGTCAAGTTCTCAAAAAACTTAACAGTCTTTGAAGAGACTCTGCTTCTATGACAAGAGACTCATGAAACAAATAAATCCTGACTATATATTCAATTTGTTTTAATCGGTAATCCTCACAAATATCAGCTGACCACGTCTCTTATTTAACTACTCTGAAAAATCAGCATAATGGAAACACAGCTATGAACAGAAAGATTGAAAAGAATTCATCTGTTTTTTCTACAAAGAAATCAAAGTCAAGGCCATAATACTGCACATCACAGCACCTAACCTGGCACATGGCAGTTGTGCAATAAGTTCTCTTCCTCCTTGATTCCACTGTTCAGACTCACATCACCAAATATGTGAGGACACCACTTCCTCCACTGTCTTGACTACAAATTACAACAGAACAATTACTTATGCTTCAAGGAATTCGAGGCAGATTCCTACTCTTGGTCTTAAATTTCTCATTTAGTGCTCTACTCACAATCAATAATGTGCCTGTCATTTCAAGCATACCCACATTTTAAAAAACATACCAACATCAAAAGTTTTACGGTTAAGGAAGCTCTTTTATTTTTAAAGGAAAGGAGATAGACATCTTGTTCTAACCTCAGAGAGAAATGTTATTGTTTCTCTTGACTTCAAGCAAGATCCCAGAGATATAGGTGTGGTCGATAACCAGTAAAATAAAGGCTCTCACTGTCTCAATAACGCCTCTGGAAGGACGTGAGCTCCGGCTGCTGTTGTAAATGGAATGCATTATAATGAACCATCACCTGTTTTCTCCGAGAAATTCCTACATCCTAATCATCTGCTCATCAGGAAAAAATTCTTGAGGCTCTTAGAATTTTACTTAATTTCATATGCTGCTCCCTCTTCTTTTCCAAAGTACCTGTACTATAATTTGTTTTCCTACATCAATTTACTTCTACTCTGTACAGAAAATTCTGAGCTTATTTGACACCAATACTTCCTTGCAACCCTTTTTTGTCTATTTCCCTTCTTATTCAAAATTAAAATGACTGTATCATCCCATTCATCTTTGGCCAATGTGGTATTTAATAATCAAGTTTCAATAAACACTGACCCCTATGCAGATTTATGCAAGGTCTTCGTCTCTACCATGTAAACAATAACCAACTCCACTTCCATGTAGCAGAGAGCGCCCCCTACTGAATTTCTGAAAAACTTCCACAGTTATCAGTGAGGGTAGCTCTTACTTGCTTCACATACTCTCTCTCTCTACTGAATTCTAAAGCAAATGAGCTGTAGTCTTGGACCAGCCACTCAAACTGGAATAAATCAGGTCCTGTGGTGCTATGCTGTAAGTTTATTTTAAAAATTATTCCACAAAGATGTTTTTAAAAATTCAGGTATGCATCCAAATACTTCATCTTATCTTTACCCTTAGTCACTCCCAGGTAAGGTACCATAGACTATTTTTTGCAAATGTGGAAACTGAGGCAGAGATTAATCAACGTGCTTTAGGAACAGAAAACCTCTTAGTGACAATACTGGATTAAGACCCAGGATTTCTGTCTTCCAGCTTAGGCTCATTTCCTGGACACTGGAACCAACCAGGGACCCTACCCCCACGTCTGACTCATCTGCTGGTGTCTGTGCCAGCTGGAACACTGAGGGGAATAGCTGGGAGTAATCACATCAGGGGACATGCCTTCGGGTCAAGGAAAGACCACTGCTACCCACTTAATTATTTTCCTTTAAAAAAAAAAATCAAAAGGAATTTTGTTGACATGAATAAGCATTTATAAACATCATGAGTACTTCAAGATCACAAACAAAGCCAAAACTCTGATTATTTAAGTGCATCTCAGTGCTCTATATTGGATATCAAGACTGCTTAGTCTAATTGTTTATGTCAGCTTTGAACTTAAGCTTAATCTATGGACACCTTAGAACACAAGAAAACGCCATTTTTGTAGGTCAAAGAACATTCCTTCAGCAACTTTACATGGTTGGGTCCGTTTAATAATTCAAGTCAAAACTTTTCTGGGACTTGAGAGCTTGCTCCTTTAAGGGCTTCAGTAGCCTCACTAAGGGATGAACGTGCTGTAGCCTTCCTCCCTCTCCAGGCAGCACTTCTGTGCCAACTGCTCAATGCCCCAGTCTGACTCCCCACCAGGAGCCAGTATTTACCACCTGGCGCAGCAGGGAGCCCGTGGCACAGGTGTCAGTGTGGAACCACTGGTAAGGACTGTGAACATCCTCCCTGACTACCTTTACCTCTCTTAGGAAGAAAGCTTTTGATGACAGTGAGTTTTCTCTCAAAGCCAGAGGCAATCATATTTTTGGTACCCACTGTTCTGTCTAGCACAAGACACTAATTTTTCCACCCACACATCTCCCAAAAAGGAGCCATCAACAGCAACATCCTTTAAATAAAGGATTTTCACAGGCACAAGGATCAATTCAGAATGTCCACTGCGCTTTCCTTCTCAGCGTTAAACAATACTGAGTCCAGGCCAGCTCCACAGGCATGCATTCCGCTCACATGAAGCCCTGCCTGCCCTGGGAAGGGCCCCGAGTTTGGCTTACTATTCTGCAGTTGCCAACTTGAATTCTTAATACTTCTATTATTGAATTTGTAAGTGAAGTCTGATGGGACAAGGGAGCATGAGTGTAAGCAGTAAAGATACCAGACTACAGAGCACGAGGCAGGCTCAGGCCCGAGGGCATGCAACCCAACCGACTAACTGGCCTGGCGGTCAGGTGCTCGCGCACATCTGGGCAATCCAGGGTGCCACAGGCCCCAGCTTGGCAAGACTGGGACCTTGGCCCAGGCTGGTGGCTGTGACAGTGGCAGCAGAAGCAGCGGTGGTCACGACCATGGACGAGTGGAAGGACTTGGGCAGGACTGTGATCCATGGCGGAGGCCAGCTTGTCTATCCATCATCATCTGTCCCTATGAACTCCACACAAATATTTAACTCTCTAACCTGAGGCCCAGGACAGTGAATGATCACAAAATAAGAGACTAGAGAGGACACTGCAATAAAGCTTATCACGAAGTTATTAAAATTCTTCAAAGAGTTTATAATCTCTGGTTTTGAAAACTGCAGCAACATTATAAATCAAATATCCACAGGCACAGAAATAGAAAGTAAATGTAAAGATAGATGCATTGGACAGAACCCCAACAAACTATTTTTTTATGAAGCTTCAGATGAAGAAATTAACAAAGAAGCCCAGTATAAAATTAATTTTTCCATATAGTTGAAGACGCAGTGATAAAATGCATAAGGCATTTTCTTTTCTTTTTAAATTTCTTTTATTTTTTTTAAATCCTCATCTGAGGACATGATTAGAGAGAGGTAGGGAGAGAGAGGAAAAGAAATATTGATCAGTTGCCTTCCGCACATGCCTGACAGGGTATTGAACCACAACCCAGGCATGTGTCCTGACCAGGAATCGAACCAGCAACCTTTCAGTGCACAGGACAGCACTCAACCAACTGAGCCACTCCAGCAGGTGGGCATTTTAAATTATATACAACTCATGAAGACACTTTCAGTTTCTTTTAAGAGCTCCATAAGTTATAGGAAATGTCAGTGAAAACACTAAAATAATCTTGTAGAAATTTACATTTAAAATTAAATTCAGACTTATACAAAATGGGTTTGAGTGAAGAATGAAACCCTTTTAGAAGGACTGTTCTATAAGAATCATCTGATCTAGGTGTACTAAAATTTTGGTTCTGAAAGTTTATCACAAATGTATTTTAATGTTGTCAAAACCTACGAAGTTCCAGGTGCATTAGCAGAAAAATCTTTCTCAAAATAACATTATCAAAAATATTTGCTATCTGGCATTTGCCAGGAGCCACTAATGCTGCTTTCAATTATAGCAACTGATGTATAAATTTTGATAACATAAACAAATGAACTTGCAGAAAAGTGAGCCAGAAAAATCTTATGATAAACAAAGGTATCACATTATTACTATTTCTTATATTATATAAAATTATGACACCAAAGTATTACTTTTTTTAATTTATAAATTTGTTATTATTCATGTGTCACTATTATTCCTATTACATTTTGTAAGTAAAATATTTTTAAGGGGAAAATTACACTTGAGTACTCTTAAATAGTACTTTTTCCTGCTTTTTTGAACAAGGGGCCCTGCCTTTTCATTTCTGAGCCCAAGATGTCTATTTTAGGTGTAAGTCCACTAGAGGGTCAGTAGTTCCCAATGCCAGGTCTTCATTCAAATTGAAGTTTTTAAATAATTTTGGAGGACTGGGCCGGGAAGAGGTCTAAACGGGAAGTCTTCCAAGACCCACTTACTCCTTTCAATCACAGACGCGGTAGTGACAGTGAGGATAGCGGGTCACCTTCTCCTGGCAGCTGCAGTTACAACAATGATAGCAATGGCAATAATAATAGTAAACAAGCCGTCCTGGCCAAAATTTTATCTTATCCTGGCCTGACTTGACTTGCTATATCTCTTTTAACTTCTCCAACAATGCTGTGAGGCCGACACTACTATAATTACCAAACTGCAGGCGAGGAAGCAACACTTAGGCTCCAGGTGAACTGATTTGCACATTCATTTAGTGAGGGACAGGGCTAGGACGTGTCCCCACACCAAATTCCAAGCTCTTACCCATTCCGTTCAAAGTCCACCAAACCAAAAGCAGTTTCACAGTGAGTGGTGCAGCTATACTTTTTTTTTTTTCTAGCTCCCTGTGATCGTGAGAGCAACAGGAGATGAGAAGGGGCCTGCTATGTACCACACACACACCCTGACTCCTGGCTTCTCAGTTGTCTTCAGCACCATCTCCTCCAGGAAGGACCCCCAATGACCCCCAGAACCACCAGCAAGTGGTCTCTCCCTTCTCAGAGTCCCAAAGTACTTTATGCCTCTCTATTGCATTTATCATTTAAGATCTTTATACCATTATTTATAGTATATATTTTCAAACTACTTAAATGCAGGCAAGTACCTGAACTGTCTTCATATCTTCACAGATTCCCTACATATGGTGAGTACAGTCAATTTACTAAGCCAATCAATTTACATCTGTCATAGGAACAACCTATCTTAATTCCCTTTTGAGTTTCTGGGTTGCAGAAGAGGTTGGAAGCTACTGCCGTAACATCATCATAAGCCAAAAATGTCCATCTTGTACACAACTAAACTTTAGATCTAAAAGCATGCCAGGCAGGTACCAGAATTATCAAGGGACTGCTTTGTGAATCATACAAATGTCTAAACACTACGCTGTACACATAAAACTAATATAAAATATTACTAAATGAAAAGTAATAAAAACCAACTGAAATGAAGGCAGAAAATATCTTGATGCCACCTCTATTCATAATCTGATTAATGACTGTTAGTTTAAGAATTTAAGTTTCATAAAAAGAGTATGTCACAACCTTTGAGTTCACCTATTTCAAAGACCACATGGGTGTCACAGCAAGCCAAGGAAGGGATTTATCTTCCTACTAACGCACAAGAGCTGCATCTGGAAGGAAGCCAGTTGAAACACAGAGCATATGCATTTTAAATTAACACTGAATATAGCTTATACATGACATACTACCCAGATATTTCCCAGTGTCTTCCAAAAGAGGAGATTGTTGTTTTTATTTGTTCTTACCCAGAAACTTCTAACTTGCAAAGTTCGGGCTACCCTGAAGCCCGTCAGAGAGTTTCAGGTCTCGTTCCCTGGACAATGGTGAGCACAGTGTCCTGCCAATCCCACCACGCTGCCTGCACTAGCTCCCTTCTCAGCAAGAGGAAATACGCAGCTCACCTCCTTGGAATGATGCCGTTTTCCAAACTTGTTGTCTGACTTCGAAGCCAGCGGCGCTGGTAACTGCTGGATGAGGACGTAGAGGAACTTGGAGATGGAAAAGGTGTAATCAAAAGGCTGCTTAGGGAGGCTGTGGGGAGGAGAAGTTAAAAGTTGAAAGTTGAGGTCAATGAATACTGTGTAGCTACATAAAAAATACATGCCAAGGAACCTCAATTTACAGGTTCTATCAGTCATATCCAGCAGGGGGAGACATAACTTCTCTCTCACTAAGACTTATGTACAGCAAAGAAAACATCCTTTAAAAAGAAAAACCAATGAAGAGAAACAGGGATTACAGACCTAGCAAGTGCATCAATTACCTGGCCCCATTTGCAACATAATTATTACTCATTCAATCAGAGTGCCGAGTGCAGATTTCTCATATAATAGTCCACATATAACATAACTGTTTATATCGCTACCTGCTAACCAATGCCATGCTCAATTTTTACCTACACAGGTATAAGTAAATCTAGGTGAAATCTAGACAAATGAGTACTTGCTCCATATTATATCCTCTCTCCTGCTCACCATCTCCAAATACACAATATTTATCCCTCCTGCCCCCACCTCTCCAGCCTCTAGTCTTAAATATGTTTTCTGCCTCCGAGCCTCTCTCTGTTTCCTTCTGCTACATAATATTAGAGGCCTGCACTGGGGCTTGCAGTAAGTGTGAGCTGATATGCTGGCCCAGACTTCTCTAACAGGCAGGGAGGGACTGGTCCATCTCAGGCAGGCAAAAGGTTTCTTTCAACTCAAAGCAGCTTGGCAGTTGTCTAAGGTTTGGAAGAATGGAAAGAGGAGACAGGCTTTCTCTTTTTACTTCCCTGGGGCTAAGGAATTGGACACTGAAATGTCATGTCACTCAGTTCAGTGAAAAAGGAAATGGGGTGTTACAGATGGCTAGTTAACATTTTCAGAAGCAAAGCACAGAGCAAAACAAAGTGACTTCAGCAAACACAGTGGACTATGCTCATAGGTATCACTTGATAAGGCAATTTCTCCAAATGACTATGTTTATTTATACTTTTACAGGAAGATGGAAATAACTCTGATCTGAGTTCTTAAATACACAGGAGTCACTTGGCTACTAGCCAATAATCAATAAGCTAATGCTGAGTGTCTACCAAGTGCCAGGTGTTGTGCTAGTCAACTGGGAAACCCTGGTAGACAAGATACATACGTATATGCCTGCATAAAGCTTCAAGTCTAGGAGACTATATCAATGAATTCCCAGGCTACAAAATTTAGATGCATAACGACTTCTTACCACAGCAGAGGTCTATGAGATGCTTTGTGCCCCTTGTACCCAGGACGTGCCCTGACTACAACAGACAATACATGCTTACTAAATATACAGCACTTCTACACCAAAGTGTTACCCAGATGTGCGTGGCCCCAGCAGGTGGCCTCTGTGTGAACCTTGATTTAAGCCTGGATTTAAATCTCCAAAATCAAATCCACATTTCAAATATCAGTGAGTTGGTAATTTTACTGAGAATTTTGAAAGGAGAGAGAAGAGAGTTTTTCCTCAAAACCACACAAAATTATTTAATAAAAAAATTAGAAAGTTCTGCCCCACCTCCTAAATTCTCAGAGTCCCCTAACGATCTAGAAGAGCCCTGCTCCCTTCCCCCAAATCTTCAGGGTCCCATGTCTTTCTCTCTGTCTTCTGCTGAGCAAATAAGCTTCTTTGGCAGGTGGAGGAAAGTTGAGGGGTAGTACTTGAATTATAAATTTTTTTTCCCATCACAGAAGCAAGACTGCTGTGGTAAATATAGCAATACAATTTACAATTTACTCTGAAAATTGTATGGTTATATAATTCAGTTTAGTGAACTGTGTAAAAGCCCAAACTCCCAGTTCAAATCCCAGTTCTGCCACTCACCAGCTGTGATACTTGGGTAGGTTACTTAACCTGTCAGCTTTCTCATCTGTAAAATGGGGACAATATAGTACCACATCTCAGGATTTTTCATGAGAGCCGCAATCTGCTAGTGTGTTATGAATTGTTTATTGGATCGAAATCAACATTTAAAAAACATGAAAACAGAGTATAGCGCAGTGTTAATATTTAATAAATGAAACTTTTGTTTGTTATTTATAAAGATGTTTATTACTGGATCATAATGAGAAATGCATTTCCATTTGTTGCAGACAAAAGAAAAGTTTGAAAAACACTGATCTATTTCCTAAGGTTCCTGTGAGGATTAAACAATCCACATAAAACATTTAGTCCAGCGCCCCAAACAACAAATGTTAGCTATTTATTCACTCTCTCTGATAATTCTTAGAAAACGTGGACTAATTGAGACATTTTGGAGTACTAAATGGTTATTAATGCTGATTAGCTAATTATGAAAAGAAACTAGGACTTGTAATAGAGACATAAAAAGGAAAGGAAAAAAATTGAAATAAAAAAATAGAAGAAACTATTCCCTTTATCCTCATTAAAAAATGCTGAATAGTAATGTTTATGGCATACAAATGAAATATTAAGCTAAAGTGCTGGCTTAGAGCCATCCAGCATTTCCTCATCAAAAATATCTTAATATTATTTAATAATATTTTTATGGAAAGTACTGTGGTATAATATCATCAATCAGATACTCTGAGAAACAGTACAGTTACAACTCTCAAATGCAAAACCAGGCTTACTTTTGACCCACAAATACTACCGTTTTTCATGACAAAAGGGTGGATTCAGCTATCTGTTCAACCAGCACTCAGTGTTTGACTGTTGGCGAGGCTCCGGTCTGAGAGGCAGTGCAGTGTGATGCAATGCCTGAGCTCTGCTATACACCCCACTCACCTGAGAGCTTGTACCTGGCCAGGTGGCTCAGCTGGCTGGAGCATCATCCCTACACCAAAAGGTTGCAGTTCAGTTCCCCATCAGGGCACCTACCTAGAATTTGGGTTCGATCCCTGATTGGGGCACGTATGAAAGACAACTGACCAATGTTTCTCTCTCACATAGATGTCTCTCTGTCTCTATCTCCCCCCACCCCCCTTCCTCTCTCTCTAAAATCAATAAAAGCATATCCTGGAGTTAGTATTTAAAAAAAAAAAAAGGCCCAGCCAGTGTGGCTAAGTGGATTGGGTGTTGTCCCAGAGATTGAGAGGTCCCACTTAGATTCCGGGTCAGGGCACAAGCCCTGATGGTGGGCTTGACCCCCAGTATGGGGGGTGCAGGAGGCGGCTGATCAATGTTTCTCTCTCACATCGATGGTTTTCTCTTTTTTTTTTTTTTTTGAATCCTCACCCGAGGACATTTTTGCATTTATCTTCAGATAGAGTGGGATGGAGAGAGGGGGAAGAGAGAGAGAAACATTGATGTGAGAGACACACATCGACTGGTCGTCACCCACATGACCCCAACCGGGGCCGGAGACAAACTGCAACTGAGGTACGTGCCCTTAGTGGGAATGGAACCCGGGACTCTCTGGTCTGCAGGATGATGCTCTAACTGCTGAGCCAAACCGGCCAGAGCTCACATCAATGGTTCTATCTTTCTCTCCCTTCCTCTCTCTAAAAAAATCAATAAAGACATTTAAAAATAAAAATAAAAGTGCTATATCTAATGCTCCTTAATATTTTCAGTATCATTTTTTTTAGAATCCTTTTATGATTAGAAAAAAATGTTAATACATATGTGGATTACAAAGACATTTGCAGTTTTGTGCACTAATCAGAAAGAAAAATCCCATCACCAGATTATTGCTAACATTTTGTGCCTAGTTAACTCTCAATTAAAAAAATGTGTGCTTTCCTCCTCACCCTCTTGTCTGAGGAGGATTCTTCAACCAGCATCCATTTACTCCTGAAAAAATGTACCATTCTGGTGGGTGATGCTGACAATGCAGGAGGCTATGCATGGGGTGGAATAGGTGGGGCTATATGAGAAATATCTGTACCTTCCACTCAGTTTTGCTGTGAACCTAAAACTACTCTAAAAGCGAAAGAGTCCACAAATTGTGAAACTGAAGAGAAATATCCATTCCAGGAGAATACCAAAGATCTGCCTTGACATATGAGGAGTCTAAAGAAATGAAGAAATTGAGTTCTGCTCAAGCTACAGCACAAGGCAAAGCCCAAGGTAAAGAGTTGACAGGAGATTGGACAATGTATAGTTACACAGACTGTGAGAAGCAGCAGCCAAAGGTGCCAGTTCCCAGAGATCCTTTTCCCACACAGCAAAAGGACAACACCAACACAAAAGGGGTCTGATGCCCCAACGCAATTTCCCGATGCTGGGAAGCCGGTTCTGGACTCCAGCTAAGCAGCTTTATGTTCTGTGTGATGGGGGCTGGGCAGAAAGCGCCATGTCTCATCAGAACCCTGGAGGGAATAAGAAACTGCCCAGGAGACGTGGAGCAGTGAGTGGGAGATGACCTAGCAGCACCTTAGAGGTGCTCGTTCTCTCACGTTCCCAGAGGAGCACACGTTGTACTGTCAAGACTCTGGTAAGTGGCAGTTCAAGCCTTTGCCCACATGGATGCAGGCAAGGTCAACGGGGTGCCACGGCCTGTCCCCACGCAGACAGCAAACAGGAAGGCACACTCCTGGACTCCTGCAGCTCTGTCAGTGAAGTACCCAAGGGTTCAAGTACAAACTGGATGTCGCTTTGCATTATTCACGGGTGACCCACGTGGTAATAGTCGGACTCCATTTTTTGCTGTTTGACTGCTGATAGCTTTTAAGCTTCACACCATCCCCTTCCTTTCTTTCTAGGCAAGCTGATGGGAAAGCCTGGGTGCTCCCTCCTTTGGGGCCGGTGGGAACTTCACCCCACATGCAGGACCCCTCACCCTGGCCCTACCCCCTAACCACCATAAACCCCCCTAAACAGTCTCCTTTCCCTTTCTTGCAAGTCATTTTCTGACCAGCTGGGAAGCCTGCCCTGCTCTCACCAGGAAGCCTCAGTATGTGGCTAATACGTCTCCTCATCCCTCTTGGTGTGTGTGTGGCGTCATCAGCCTTGACATCCACACTGCATTTTGGGTATGGGGTCCATCCTGTATCGCACAGTGACCTGAATGCATGGCTTCTTTAAATACTATGATGATGTGTATTCCTACCTTAAGGGTCCATTTTAAAACACTTAAATAAAACTGTTTAAAAATATATACTAGAAGTTTTCCTCATACTGATCTTCAGTTTTACATACATTTTTTTTTTTTTGTAATTCCTCACCATCCAAGGGTATTTTTCCATACATGTTTTTGTTTGTTTGTTTTTGTTTAGATAGAATGGGAGGGAGCAAAGGAGGGTGGGAGAGAAAGAGAGAGAAACATCAATGTGAGAGAGAGAGAAACATCGATTGGTTGTCTCCCACAACCAATTTAACTGGGAAGAGATCAAACCTGCAACCCAGGTATGTGCCCTTGACAGGGAATCAAACCCGTGACCCTTTGGTCCACGGGCCAAAGCTCTAACCGCAGAGTCAAACTGGCCAGGGCTTACATACTTTCAAGAACAGAGGAAATAAAGTTTCACAGAGGATAGGGAAATTATTTTTCTTGTCAATGATGTGGATATTTTGGTGAGGAAAAGAATCTAAATGTGAATTAAGGTGAAGGATTAACAAGGCTCAGTGACTCTGGATTCAATCCCAGCCCTCTGAACCTTACTATACTATGTACCCAAGATTTTCAAATTTTAGCTTCTGCTCCAACCTATTTCTTTAGAGCCAGTGTCCTATTTCTAAATTACAGCTGACTACTCATAGCTGGAGAACTTACAGACTCTTCTAATAAAAATTATCTCAATTTCTGTCTCCTCGGACCGGCCTCCTGTTTCCCCTAAACTGGTTAATGCCAACATCCTCCGTCTCTTTTCCCAAGTTAGAAACTGGAGCATCACCCTTGGTTCCTCCCTCATCCCCCATTTCCCGTGTGCCCCATCAGTCACTGAGCCCTACCAATATTACCTCCTAGTATGGCTGAAATGCATCCCTCCTCTGTCCTAGGACTTTACTTGAAATATTTCTAATGGCAACCACTAAAAGAACCTCTTAAAAATAATTTATATTTTAGATTTATATATGCACAGAGGACACAAAGTATCCAAAAGAGGATACAATGAGAATACAATCAAGATACCACCCTTAGCTGCCCCGCTAACAAGATTAAATCCAATTCCTTAGCATGGCACCAGCACCTTCAAAAGGACCCTTTCATAGCCGGCCTTACTTTCTGACATCCTCTCCCATTCCCAGCCCCATGGTCCAGTGTCCTAACTCCCCTGCACAAACTATCTTCAGAAATGCTCTTTTCCTGAACTCTGATGCTATTATTTTCTACCTACAAGGTGTCACTGAAATACATCGTTTCCTGTGAGGCCACTGTCTGCTTTCCCAGGCAGAGCCTCTCTGTTCCCACAGTGCTTTATGAGTACAGTTATAGCACTGTATTTCTTTTTTTTTTTTTTTTTCATCCTCACCTGAGGACATTTTTCCATTTTTTGTTCAGATAGAGCGGGAGGGAGAGAGAGGAAGAGAGAGAGAAAGAAACATCGATGTGAAGGGACACATCGAGTGGCTGCCACCCGCACGACCAACCAGGGCCAGGGACAAACTGCAACCGGGTACATGCCCTTAGCGGGAACCCAACCCGGGTCTCTCTGTACCACAGGCCGACGCTCCAACCGCTGAGCCATACCGGCCAGGGCATAGCACTGTATTTTTTTTTTTTTTATCCTCACCAGAGGACACTTTTCCATTCCTTGCTCAGATAGAGCGGGAGGGAGAGAGAGGAAGAGAGAGAGAGAGAGAAACATCGATGTGAAGGGACACATCGAGTGGCTGCCACCCGCACGACCAACCAGGGCTGGGGACAAACTGCAACCGAGGTACATGCCCTTAGCGGGAACCGAACCCGGGTCTCTCTGTACTGCAGGCCAACGCTCTAACCGCTGAGCCAAACCGGCCAGGGCCATAGCACTGTATTTTTAACTCTTGGTTTACATGTAACTCTTCCTGAGGGCAGGTGCTATATATATATATTTTTTTTCTTACTCTTCTTCAAAAACATTTCAAATTCTTGTAGAGCCTGACAAAACAAGAGGCTAGAAAATTGTTATTCAGCCCTGGCCAGTTTGGCTCAGCGGTTAGAGCATCGGCCTGCGGTCCGGAGAGACCCGGGTTCGGTTCCCGCTAAGGGCACGTACTTCGGTTGCAGTTTGTCCCTGGCCCTGGTTGGTCGTGTGGGTGGCAGCCACTCGATGTGTCCCTTCACGTCGATGTTTCTCCTCTCTCTCCCTTACTCTCTCTCCCTCCCACTCTATCTGTACAAAAAATGGAAAAATATCCTCAGGTGAGGATAAAATAAAAAAATAAAAAAATAAAGAAAATTGTTATTCAATAAATAATGTGGCTTGATGGTTGGCCAGTCAGGAATTGGTGCTACCCTTCTAACTCCTTTCCTTAACTTCAACTGTATCAAACTGGTCTTACTGTGGAAACCACCAAAGTTAGTTAGTTCTCTAACAACAGAGTAAACCCCTTCAAGAATTTAAAACCACATGGCTCTTTGTATTCCCAGGGCATATTATGCACAGAACATGTTTGCAGCGACATGTGAAATATGCTCCTCCATCTATCCCGTCCTTTGGAGGTGGCCTGCAGAAGGGGGTGTCTACAGAAAGAACTGATGGGCGAGAACCAGAAACTTCAGGTTTCTTTTAGATGGAGAATCAGAAATTTCCATTAAAGTTCCTTTTTACCCTGGAACAAGTTTCTCTCTATAAACGATGCTTTTAAAAACAAACAACAAGAAAGCTTTTCTAAAGTTACTTCTTTCCTAGACTATTGAGAAAAATAAAACACCTGAAATTATTCTTCAAAACTGATTTGTGTAGTCAGAATTTCTGGTAGCATGCAGGAAGCCAGATGCAAGAGGAACTGGTGTCAGCTGTGATTTCAGAGATTCTACTGGCCTGGTACATGGAGCTGTAAACATTCCTTGATCTCGAAAGGTGCTGACGTAAGTAACTCTGGAAATGAGTGCACGTGTGTGAGACTAAAGGCAAAAGGAACTGCAGGTGAGCACTGTACTCTAGTTAATTAAAGTCATTTCCTGCAGGGGTACAAGTTAACAATTCTGATACTGCTATATATGTATCTTCAAGTGAAACAATGAAATAGATGGCAAATGGTGAGGGCTAGTTTTCTCACTGTCAGAGTGGGAGTTTACAAATACGCAAGGGGAGGACGGTAGAATGATCCGTGTAGTAATGGGTTATGAATAATGGAAATATCAGTACAAACTGATGGTTAACGTAATAAAAATGCAAATGTTATATAAAGCAATATTTAAATACATGTCTATATACAGTTAGCATAAACTCCTATTTTTTGCTTATCAGCTGAGAGGGCCTATAAGAAATGACACTGCAGTAGCAATAAACTCATCTAGTGTCTGAATCTTGGAATCTAATAACCATTCTCCAAAGAAAGATCAGGGCTCCATGGAGAAATGGCTGATTCTAGGACTGGAGCGGGAAATATACAAAGATAGTCTGGAGCATCTGGTAGTGCCAGAAAGTAAGGAAGTGCTCAAAACACACACACACACACACACGGGTATGTTAAATTAACACAGGAGCCGACTGATAGAGCTCCATTGCTTCCATGGCCAAAGCTGGAACAATTTGAGCAACTAAATAAAGTAGAACTGGGTTATAACCCAAAGTATAAAATATATATCTGAGTCATATTGATATAAATGGCTGACTGAATTAATGAATGGACAAGGGAAAAGAGACAAATCTCCCATGCAAAAAAAAATTCCAAATAGTTTAAGTAGAGACCAAAATGACTCAACTATTGTCATTTAACCATAAATAACATTTATGGTTATTTATTTATGGTTATTTATTTAACCATAAATAAAATGCTGTGCACTTTACATTACGTGACACATGTTAACCAGACAGACAGACTCAGCAACAAATTCTATTTAACAACTTGGGAGCACAGTTGTACTGAGTACGGTGCAGGACTCTGGTACTACACAGAAGGAACACAAGGACTCCTTCAAGCTCTTTCTGAGGGCAAGAGCTGGAAACACAAATAAGTGGAAGGCAGGAGGAAAGGCACCTGAGGCCTGGATCCAGTGCCAGCACAGCCAAGCACCGACTGGCTGGCCTCACTGGTGAAGGCGGCATGTGCCCCTGGTGAGACCACCAGGTGCTCCTAGTCTTCAGTGGAAGGTAGAGGCTGCATGCATAATGTATGTCCATCAAGCAAAGCCTCATACACCTCCAAGTCCTCAAATGCCCGATCTTTAGTTCCCTACTTTTCTAGCTTAGAGTTTACCTCAGATCGGAACCACAAATTAAAAAAAAAAAAAAAATCAACAGGAGAATCATGTCCTAAAGCAGAAACTAAGAGATCTTAAAAACAGTATTAGAAAAGTTCAAGGCTAGCTCTGGCCAGTTTGGCTCAGCGGTTAGAGCATCGGCCTGTGGACCAAAGAGTCTTGGGTTTGATTTCCGGTCAAGGGCACATACCTGGGTTGCAGGTTAGATCTCCGGCCCCAGTCGGGTTCGTGAGGGAGGCAACCAATCAATGTGTCTCTCTCACACTGAAGTTTCTCTCTCTCCCTCCCTTCTACTCTATCTAAAAATCGATAGAAAAATATCCTTGGGTGAGGACTAATCAAAAAAAAAAAAAAAAAAAAAGAAAAGTTCAAGGCTTAAAGTAAGAAGAGGGGGTACCGGAGATAAAATCTAGAATGGTGTGACTCCAGGACAGAAGAAAGAGTGACCGTGTCAGCTGGCAGACCCTCCCTTGGTCATGGGTAAATTTACCTCCACCCAGACTTTCCTTCCTTCGATTTTTAATCAATATTCAGCAAGCAAATTCCCAGTACAACTGGCTCAAGGAAGCTTCCCTCATAGATGCTGTGCATCAAAGTTCTAGGTCTTTAGATATGTGAGCCTAGCTTAGAAAATAGAGAAGAAAAAAAAGAAACAAAACAAAACAGAAGATGAGGCCTGTCTTCTATTTCCCCAACTACTTCACCAGTATGGATAGTTAGTTCACTGTTAGTTAAACCAGTAGCAGGCAGTACAAATACCTGATCGAGCAATGCCACTGTCCCTGTCTTCATTCTGTCCTCTGCTTGGCATATCAACAGGAGTGCTGTGTGCTAAGATGAAGGCAAAAGAAAACCGTGTTATTGGGCTCTTCAAAGAAGGAGCTGTTTTAAAATAAGTACAATGATTTTTACATTTCAAAGTAGGCTACTGCTATTGATGATTGGCATAAATTTACATAGAGATTAATTAGAAATCAAAATTAAATACATAAAAAGACGATAGTGAGAGTAAAAAGAAAACAGAACCAAGTAACCACTTGCCTTCACTATCCTACTCTAGCATATAAACTTTTATGAGTGGTGCTCATCTCTAAAACAGCGGAATAATCAACTACTGATGCAGTTGAAACAATGAACAAACATTCTCAGGCAGATACTCTTGGCCATTTCCTTGGTAGTAGTAGCATTTAAATATTACTGTATTTTCACAATGTTTTAAAATCAGTTTCAGTAGTAACTATAGGCAACTCAGGGAAGAGAAATACTTGAAAACCATTTCATCAATGTAAAAAATGTTTCTCTGTTTGTAACCCACTCTCTTGGCAAATAGAAAACACTTATATTCATTTTCAAATATTTCTTCCTCCACTTCTTTTCCACATACACCCATACACAGTATTATTGCAGAGTTACTTAGAAAAACTCATGTCCTGGCATGAATTTTAGAAAACACTAAAGTATTACAAACTTTTAGGCATGCTTCAGATAGATTAAACTGTGCACTTACTGGGCTAGAGGGTAGGTGACACGTTTCTATAGCAGCTTGCAGACCAGGGCCCTGCCTAGTTAATAAACCTGCCAGCTATTTTTTGAAGGCTATTTATTTTCACAATTTTACAGAGAGTATATAAAAATGTTATCCTTACTCTGAGTAGGTAGGAGGGTGTCAGTTTTATTAGGGTGTCTTTTAACTATGGTGCTTAAGCATATTTCAGGCTACAAAGAACAGAATACCACTGCCGTAAACACAACCTTTAATGTTAGTAATGAAGGTTCCCACACTTGTTAATCATGCCAGACTACAACAGCCATTCAACAGCCATAGCTAGCAAGGCCAATCAAATCTCAGACTTTACCTACCACAGAGACCGAGATGATTCTACCTGTAAAGAACCTAGAAACTGCATTTAAACTATTATGAGAGAGAGAGAGAAAGCGCGCACGCGAGAGAGGTGTTTTCCATGCTTTTATTAGAGTGACTTTTGAAGAAACTCTGTGCAGGTATGGATGCAGGTGAATAAATGATAAAATATATCATGGCAAAGGGGGAAAGTTCATAGCAGCAGAAGAGGCCTACAAAAATCAGAAAATATAATCCTCTTAGAAACACTAAGGGCTCATTTCAGACCAAAATCAGCTTAGCCTGGGGTTTAACAAAGACATTTACAATAGAGGTTCACTGGTGGAATTTTCAAAACACCATGAACTGGGCTGCCTTTGAAACTCATATCTCAGGAGCCCCTTGGATTTCTAGAGAGGTACCAAATAGGATTTTTTCTAGGAACCTGCACAGGATGTATTAATGTGTGTGTGGGTCACACTGTACTCAGCATTCCACACAAACCTGCAAAGAAAGAAGCACTGCGGGTAAGCCGGAGAGGTCCTCCTTCTGCCACCCCCTGCAGCAGCTTGCTGCTGCATGCCTGCAGCAGACCTAGGGACAGAAACACACAGAGGAGGGCAAACAAAGTGTACACAAAAAATAAACACAGATTCAAGATAATGCAACACAAACAAACAAAAAATACACACACACAACACAGTCAAATAAAACAAAACACACCCACAACAGTGGCATTCAGAAAGAAAGAACCCATTCATGCGGCTGATTTTACCTAAGTTACTTCCAGCACGACAAGGACCAAAATTATTCTGATTTGTGTTCAGCTTTCCCAAATTGGGGTCTTGGTTGATGTATTCAAAGCTGTCTTGCAAGCTAAATCCAGGGAGAAGGAGAAGGGAGACAGAGGAGAAAAATGTCAAGAGACAAATAAAGTTGTTTTCTAATGACTCTCAAATATAAACAACTTATCAGTTGCTCAAACTTTTCTTTATAAATGAATGAAGTCTCACATCTACCAATGGGAATTAAACGTTAGGGGAATTTGTTAAAGGAAAAGAAAAGCTTTTTGGAGGTAGTCCAATCTATAAAACTAAACTACATTCCTAACATTTTCCCATTACATAATGGGACACCCAACTCTGTAATCTTTAATTGATGAGAGAGAGAGCAAGAGTGAGAGAGAAACATCAAGATCAGTTGCCTCTCATCTGCACCATGATTGGGGGTCGAACCCACAACCTGGGTTTGTACCCTGACCAGGAAAACCCACAACCTTTTGGTGTATGAGATGATGCTCCAACCAACTGAGCCACACCAGCCAGGGTCAAACTCTATAAATTTTGATCAGTGACTGACACATGGGATAATGCTACTAATTTCTAAAGTTTGCTTTAGTGAATGACATTAAAAATGTTACTATTCATTTCAAAAGTAGTTTTACATAAACCTTCAAAATAAAATTAATTTGAACTCTTAGTTAACATCAATGAGCAATTCAATAACTTTTTTCAGGAGGAGGTTATAACAGAAATTGATATGATTCCTATAGGAGTTTGAGTTCACATGCAAACTTTCAGGATTATTAATATACACAAATGTGAGGGAAGCAGATTTGATTAATTTATTGTACTTATAAGAAGTAAAATAAATACAAATATTTTGAAAATAATACAGAATAATGAGGCCAAATGATTTTAAGTGAGATCTGAGCTCATTATTCTATTATGGGGAGTTAGTGTAATAAATGTTCAGGTAATATCAAGACTCTGAAAAAGAATCTCTCACAAGAAATAAACATCACTTCCCATGCTGGTTTACATCACGACAGTCCAAGGTTAAGTGCTGAAACAAGTAAAGTCAGTATTTTGAGGAAGAGTACGTGAACTTACTCAATGGTACCCAAATCTACAAAGGAATACATTTTTTACTTCCTAGGATAACAGCCTTCCTTTGACTCATAAGGATGCCCCTTTAATTTATAACTAACCTTTCTTTCTAACTTACCAAGGTATAATAAATGTTTGTTTTAAAAAGTATGTACAATATTTCTGCTTGGAAAGTTCCAAACATATAAACAAATGTACCAGAATAAGAGTTAAGTTAGCTATTTCAGTCTACACAGAAGTATAAACTTTGAGGAAGAAAAAACTCAGGAGTGAAAAGGAAACCGCATGGCCCAAGCACCAGCCGATGACAGAGGCCAGACTGACAGCTGACCAGATGGCAGGCCTGCACAACCCATCCTGCCACCAGGTCCTCAGCAGCCTGGGAAAACTTCTATGTGCTTCATTCCTTAAATAAACAAACACACTAACAAATAAGTCTTCACATTTGTTTAGGGATAAAATAATATTGGTAAATTTCATAAACTCATTAATGTGGCCCCTGCTTTCCCCCTTCACTATCCATTTTCCAGGAAATGGACGCTTAGTGATGATAGTAAGAACAGAGTGGGTAACAGAGGGGCCCAGAAAATACAGAGAAATGGTCCTTTGTCTTTAAGGCTACCTGATAAAGTCAGAAGCCTTTTCATATGCACTATGTATAGGAAAATGGCCACTTTTAAGATCCCTGTGTTAATGTGGACTCATCCTGCTTCTCATTTCAAAAGGCCTTGTGGCCCTTGAAAAGGTTACTCTGTGCCGAAATAGCCACTTAAAAAAATGGGGGAGGGGGCATGCAAAATCCCACACTTACTTATTTGTACTTCCGCAGAAGCTGCCCATTCTAGCAGAGAACACTTTACTAATCATCAGCTGTGGAGGAGAGCTGGGAAAAATAAAAGTACGAAAGAAAAAGAAATGCATTTTTGAATTGAGTCAATACGATCATTCCACATCTCACAACCAGTAGAAAAGAAGCCCAAACTCACCGTATATAGTGTATCTTCAAAGTGGAGCCCTTGTAACTCATTGCAACGGAGCCAAACATCATTTCCCCTAGCATGTTGACATCTGATGCTGGTCTTGTGTACTGCCCCCCATGAAAGAAACAGAAACCGAAGTTAGAATGTGGCACAACATGATGTGCAACAGAAAATAATGTTCATTATTTTCTGGCTCCCTCTTTGGTTTACCAGGTAATTATTTCTCAAAGACCGTATTGGTCATTTTAGAATCTTAATGGGGATGGCCTATTTTTTCTCAAATTATTACTAATGTTCATGATTTCTTCTTTATACACAATATCTTCACAAGGATCCTAGTGTTTTATCAGTGTATCTTTAATTTTGTTATGAGAAACAAATGCTTTTATTATCTCTATTGATAAACTCTAAACAGAAAGATTAAGTTATGAAAGAAACGGGGTCACTCTTCCCTTGATATTAAGAACATATCCTAAAAAAAAATATATGGTTCAGTATTATTCAATCAAATAATGAACAGTATTGCCTGGCTGGTGTGGCTCAGTGGTTGAGCACTGACCCATGCACCAAGAGGTTGCCGGTTCGATTCCCTGCCAGAGAACATGCCCAGCCAGGTTGTGGGCAGGATCCCCAGTGGGGGGCATATGCAGGAGGCGGTCAATCAATATTCTCTCTCATCGATGTTTCTATCTCTCTATTCCTCTCCTTTCCTCTCTCTCTAAAATCAATAGAAGAAAAAAAATTTTAAATAAAAATAATGAACAGTATTGAACAAAAATGCCTATTGGTACAGGCAGGGTTTATGAGGGTTCAAATATAATGGATGGTTTGGTACCTCTGAAGTTTCACAAAAAAACTTTTTTGAATATTCACCCCTCTAGCTTCTGACCTGTTTTTCCAACGCTTCATCATCTGAAAGGGTAGACTGCACTGCCTTCACTTTGCCCCTCTCATCTGCTTGTTAACCTACTGCAGCCTCCTCTGTTCAAACAGTGCTAGTGATGACTCCACCTCCATGTCAACTCCAATGGGCACTTTCCAGTTTGCTTTCTTCAGTGTCTCTCATGGTATTTCATGCTCTTAATAACTCCTTTTCAATCTCTTCTTTCCCAGATCATCCCTTGAGCAGAGTTGTTCCCCAGAGGGCCTCCTACTCACTGTCTATATTCTCAACCATTCTCATGATTTTGATTATTCTTTACGTAGGAATTATCCCCCAAATCTTTAGCTCTAAGTTGAAACCTCTCCTTGAATTCTAGGATCCTATATCCAAAATGCATTCATTGACATATCATAGTTGAATATTATGAACATATTATGATATGTGAATTAATGAACTGAATATAGTATTCTAAGCACCTATCCTAAATGCTGGTGACACTGACGAACAGAACAAATATATCCCAGCATAGCTTGACCAAAACAAAACAACCATCTCTCTGTGACCCAGCCCACCAGCCAGAGTCTCTGCTAGCATGCTTTCCACCCAAGCAAAGCATGGGCACCATCCTTAACCTCTCTTCTCAATCTTTTTTTAATTCCAAATACACACACACACACACACACACACACACACACAGATATACACACAAGTACACACACACACAAACACATATACACACCTACCTGTACCTGTTTGCAGAGGAGGAAAGAGAAACAAATCTATCAGCCTTGTTTAACTCCGCTCCTCTCTGGTTACGGCTAAAACTAACCTCTTCTTACTACATGCAGATGGAAACCAACTTGGCTTTCACATTCTTTATTAATAACTTCCACCCATGACCTCCACTGTATAATCTGCTTTTTCTTGGGCTACAAGGTCCAAATGCCAACTGTGATTCTCAACCAGCTAAACTTTACTCTGTACTATTTAAACCATGAACTGTTTTGAGACCTAGCAGCACTAGGAAATAATGGCAAATGTATGGCAAAATCCTGACCAGGTAATTAATCAGTTCTATAGACCTGATGGTCTATAGGCTGCTGGTCATTTCCTTGGCTTGCTCTTCCAGCAACATGACAAATTCTACGTGGGTCGAAAAAGAAAAAATTCAGATGGCTTCCATCAATTAACAGCCATCTGTTATTCAATCAATATTTAGAGAACTTTTCTTCTCTTATATCTAGTTAGCTAATATATTTCTCAAAAACCCTAATCCCTAGTCTCTACTGCCTTACACACACACACACACACACACACACACACACACATACACACACAGTGTGAAAAATGCTCCCAGCCCTCTGTCCTTCACATTCAAGCTAGGTCTTGCCCTTTCTTTCTTCTATTCAAGGTTTTCATCCTTCCATTTTCTTAGAAGGACCATGTACATTTCCAGAATCCTTAGAGTTCTGATAACAAAGCTGGAAAATATATGTGTATTAATATACTTCTGACAACAAAGCAAGCAAAACCAGAGGGTTTACCTCATTTGCAATATTTCTTCCTCATTCGGTAAGTATTATACTGGATCACCTCTGCTCGATCACAGTTTGTATCAAGAGATAAAAGCCACTGTACATCAATAGCACCGGCGTGAAACATTTAAGAGAGCAGGTTTTGTAACCCTGATTCTCATATCCCTGGAGTGGAACCCTCCAGCAGGCATTACTCCCTGTGGAGAAACTCCAGGAAATGACTTCACTCCCAGGGGTATTCCACACGAAAGGGTGGGTTACCTGGTACTTGGGAAGCTGCTCCTTTGCGTGTTGCGAGGATCCCCCGGACGAGCTGTGGGAGGAGATGCTGCTGCTGCTGCTGCTGCTGCTTCCCTGACAGCACTTGGCTGACACTTTGAGAGGGACATCCTCTGTTTTCTGGGTTGGGAGAGACAGGCAAGGTAAAGTGCAGCTCAATGTATCAGGCTTCCTCCACAGGCTCCTCACTGGGAATTCCATTGTTAAAACTTTCCGTTATGTTGTACCTCAGTGCACAGAAAACTGGAAGCTTTGATTTTTCTTTTATTGAGGACAAAAGTGTGGTTCCTAAGAGTCTATAATATTTGGGAGGTGAAATGCTGGAGACGGGCACTGGACAGAAGGTGGTGGGTTATGCATTAAGACTTTATTCTCCTTAAATAATACAAATATTATTTACTTTCCAGTTCATATTTTAAAATCACCAATGAGCTCCGATCTCTATTTCTGTTATTACCGGATTTTGAGTACTAAATAAGAGTCAAAATTTATAAAACCGATGAGAAAGACATTGCTTTAAATTCAAAGTTTTACCAAATGGAACTAAGAAGACAAAAATATAAATTTGGAAAGACTGGGTTTGTGTTTTCAATGACATCTCCTTTAAAGGTAATCGGAAAGAAAATCATGAGGTTGAGCTTGTGAAAGATGAAGCCAAAGCTCTGAAACAGGAGCTCCTGCGAATTATACAGCATGTGATGGAAATTTGGCCTTTAAAGGTTAGAGGTAATAGAAGGTTATCTGCTATACATTCCCTAAATAGAGCTCACTGTTAATTTTAGGACATAAAGGTATAAAGATACACCTGTATTAAATTTTCCCTTCCTTCTACACCAAAATCATTACTTCCTACAGAAGCATCCTGTGTCCTCTATAAGCTGTCGCTATTCCGAGTCTTATTTGCTTTTCTGTGTGCAGCTTTTGCCTGGAAAACCATGAATGCAACTGCAGCTTATCTGATCTCCAATGTGACAGTCACACTGGTGGGCTAATGCAAATGCCTGCAGTCATGTGCCAGATACAAACTCATGACGTTCTGTGCCTGCCAAGGGGTGAAAGGCTGAAAATGGGGAAGAATGTAAGGGAAACATACACTGTGCTGGTCCGTAACAGTCACTCCAGCAGTGACAGCATTCAAAGTTGCACTTAGTTATTCCCAAGCATCTGGCACTCCCTCAACACCCTCTTCAGATCTCGCTGTTACTTAATACCACTTAAGCCACAATCCAGCCCCTCAGAGGGCCCAAAGTGACTTGAAGTCCACACCTGCCTCACGGACTGTCAGACCCTTTGGCTGGGGTACAACATTCTGAGAGCCTATAATTGGAGATAGCACCTGGTACAGTGAACGGAGCGCCCACTGAACTTTCTGTAGCCTTGGGCACGTTACAAACCTCCCTGGACCTCGCTGCCTTTTTGATTAAGTGAGCACTTCCAAGAAAGCTTGTGCTCCAGCTGCCAGTGTCAGCAGTGCTCTGATATACTGAAGATTCCAGTTGCTTTTTGAAAACCGGTTATCATTTTTTCCCCTCCACCTGTTATGACCATTTAGGAACCCTCAAATAAACCATCTGTGCAAGTTCTTCAGGGAAATAGGAAATGATGTGGGAAATCAAGGGGAAAGCACATCCCATCCACCAAACAAAGGGTCAAGTGCTGGCTCACCTAAACTTGTGGTAGATACAAGTCTACCATTAAAGCTTACAGGTGAATCACTTGAGACATTTCAAGCCTTCCCCCTCCCCAAACCTACCTAACAAGCCCAACAACTACTGCAATGATTAGCTCTCTGGCAGATTTCCACTTGAACGCACTACGGAATCCACCCAGTTCAACTGCCTTTAACCAAACACTTCCTTCCTGCAGAAAAGATCCTTATCAAAAGCAGGAAAACAGCCCCTTGGCCCTGATGAAACAAAGACTGTGATAAAACTATTCATTTACTTAGCTACACATTTCTGTAAACTGCCAGAATTCTGTCAGTAGAGGTAGCAAGTTATTGAACATGAAAAGGATGAATACAAGTGGATTTAATTTGCAGACAGTCGAAGAACTATTGGAAAGAGAATGAAAGGTCTAAAGGTGATAACTTGCAAGTCCCCTGGACTGATGTCCAGGAGACTCAGGGAGGACCAGACTCTGCACCTCACCTGGACACATCACTTTACCTTTCCCATCCTGGCTCCAAAGGATCACTTTACCCATCACGAGATCCTCCCACACTCTGCCCCTCAACACCACTTTCCACTAAGAAAAGGAAATAAATGAAAGTGTTCTTGGTCAGACGGGTTTGAGAAGCACTCCCTTTCGAATGAAGATGACAATGCATGGTAGCATACTGAAGCCCTATACTGAAGAGAGCTATCTGAATTTGTTTAACCTAGTGCTCTGTAATACTATCTATGAGAAATACTAGACAGAATGATCTATTAATTTCCCTTCAGGCTAAAACACTTCATGAATTTTAGAGTTCTCAGATTTCTCATTACACTGTATATATTTAGTATCAAAATCCTACTAGATTGCTACTCACCAGCAAATTCACCTCTAGTAATATTTATAGTACACTGCTTAGCACCTGTCATGATTACTTGCTAAGAGTTTCACCTGTATATTAATAAGAATACAAATGCAGCCCTGGCTGGTTTGGCTCAGCGGTTGGAGCGTCGGCCTGCGGTACAGAGAGACCCGGGTTCAGTTCCCGCTAAGGGCACGTACCTCGGTTGCAGTTTGTCCCCGGCCCTGGTTGGTCGTGTGGGTGGCAGCCACTTCGATGTGTCCCTTCACATGGATGTTTCTCTTTCTCTCTTCCTCTCTCTCCCTCCCGCTCTATCTGAACAAAAAATGGAAAAATGTCCTCGGGTGAGGATAAAAAAAAAAAAAAAAAAAGAATACAAATGCAGCTGGGGGTGGGGGAGAGGTCAGGAAGCTTTTCTTTTGTGTCTTCTGAACTATCAATGGCAGTGTACAATATAGAGATGATTATGCTTTAATAAATGGCCCATCCAGTGTGGCTCAGTGGTTGAGCATCGACCCATGCACCAAGAGGTCGCCAGTTTGATTCCTGGTCAGGGCCCATGCCCAGGTTGTGGGCCAGATCCCCAGTGCAGGGCATGCAGGAGGCGGCCAATCGATGTTCTCTCTCATCAATGCTTCTATCTCTCTCTCCCTTTTCCTTCCAATCTCTCTCTCTAAAAATAAATAAATAAATAAAACAAATGATTGATCAGACAGGTGGTTAAAAGCACAAACAAAAAAGATGAAAGCAAATCCGCATTTCATACCTGAGTTGCCACCTCCTCTTCAATCTTGTGAACAGCTTTAGAATCAAACAAGACTTGTCTGCCTCGCCTTTCACAGTCCTGGTAAACTATCAGGCGAATCTCGTTCAGGTCAAACTCCGAACATGACCAGCTATGGATGAAAAAAAGAGAAAGAAGTTATGGTATCTGCAACATGTGGAATAATCATGGAGAGAAGCACTGGCTGATTTGGCTCAGCAGTTAGAGCATCGGCCTTAGGTACAGAGAGACTCGGGTTCAGTTCCCGCTAAGGGCATGTACCTCGGTTGCAGTTTGTCCCCGGCCCTGGTTGGGTCGTGAGTGTGGCAACCACTCAATGTGGTCCTTTCACATTGATGTTTCTCTCTCTCTTTCTCCCTCCCACTTTATCTGAACAAAAAATGGGAAAAAAATGTCCTCGGGTGAGGATTAAAAAAAAAATCATGGAGAGAAAAGTTTCCCAACCAACATGCCTGTGTGCACATCGGAAGGCCACAAGCATGCGAGAGAGCTATCCCTTCAGACCTGGGACAGACAGCCTTGTCTGTGGACTCCAACGGGCCATCCACATAATGCCAGTGCCCATGACAAAGGCTGGGAAGACTGCTTTAAATATTAAATCATTGGAGAGAAAGTTTCTCCTTCGAAAGCCACTTTGGGCAAAGATGGTGGCCAGAAATCCTAAGGACATGTGGAGAGAGCTAAATTTGATGTCTGGGTTCTGGGAATGGCACACCTGAGGTCTATGAGTGTTAAGCTTTTTGGTCATTGGCCTGGGAACCATTCGGAACAAGTCAGTAGAGCCTTCTCTTTCTCTCCCCCACCCACCCACGCTCAGGTCAAACGGGGAGGAATTACACATCCGAAGACTTAGTATTTTCCTCTATTACAGCTGGCTCTGATAAAGAAGTTTTAAAAACCAAGTGTATCACTAAACAGCATCCGAATTGCTGAAACAATAAAAAATAAAGGAAGCATGGCTAATTTATTAGAAAAGCTACTGGAATAAAACTGCTCTAAACATAGATTAGTTCCTAAAATAAAATAAAATCAGAATGCAAGAATTATAGCTGGCCAGTGTGGCTAGTGGATTGAGCATCATCCCATGGTCAGGGCACATGTGTGGGTTGCAGGCTCGATCCCCAGTAGGGGGCGTGCAGGAGGCAGAGGATAGATGTTTCTCACGTAGATGTTTTCCTCTCTCTCAACCTTCCTCTCTCTCTAAACAATTAACAAAAACATATTTAAAAAAAAAAATAGAAAGGGTAATCATTTGAAAGGCACTGCTTTGGGCATATTCAATTATTAGTCTGTTAGTCCATTCAACATATATTTGTGTGTCTACTATGTCCTGGGCACTGTCACTGCTACAGATTCAGCAGTTAATTAACTAAAAAGACTTGGTTCCTGCCTTCATAGAGTAAGTACGTACATAGTTTAGTGGGGAATGCTGGGCTAACAATCATATATAAATGTGTAACTATGGACTGCCATAAGTAAAGGATGTAATAAGAGTCTCCAATTTTCAGATTTAAGGGTGGGATATAGGGCAGGGAAGTCCCTAACTGATTTAAGGAAGTGACATTTAAACACAAACTTGAAGAAGAGTTCAAGAGATCAAGTGTGAGAATGAAGAACACAATAAGAAGAGGGTGGGACATGTTAAAAGAGTGATGCAACTGAGAAAGGGGGGAGGGGCAGAGGGAGTAAGAGAGCTTGAATGGTAGGCTGGGAAGGTAGGCAGGGGCCAGGATCCTGCCCAAGTGCAGTGAGAAGCCAAGGTAAACAAAGGTTGATAAACTCTGGTCTATACTTTTTTCAAATTCAATCTTGCTGCCCTAAGGAAAACAGGGGTGGGACAGATTAAGGCTGGAAGCAAGAAGGCCAAATAGAGTTTTTTATGAGTTCAGTCCCTTCATAATGAAAGCTACAGTGATGGAGGTAGAGAAAAGAGGGATGTTCAGGGGGCAGAACTGATAAGATTTCGTGGTGAACTGGATGGGTGCCTGAAGCAAAAGGGGTGCTAACTGCTTAGAGAATGCTGGAAGAGGGAGAGTTGTCCTGAAGGGATAGAGGATGGATAGTTAGACAGACAGACAGACTAACAAAAGCAAACTATAAAACTAAGAGTACAACTGAAGTCAGACAAGTCTGGATTCAAATCCTAACTCTGAGCTCCTACTTCTTCATCAGCACAATGAGAGTATCACTGCCCACGCCACATGCTGCCGTAGGAACTACATGAAATATGTCAAGTGCTTCCCGCCGAGGCTGACACACAATGAGTGCTCCAAAATGGTAATAAATACTTAAGAGAATTGGTAATGTTGCTATTTTTTTAATCACAACCTGTGCGTTTCTGGTCCTTTTGTTTTTCAGGCAGTGGTAGTTAACATTGAACATGTTCTTTTAGGGTAGCTGGTGTGTTTTCTTAAATCCCAGCAACAAAAGAACAAAGTTCTGGTTGTACCTTCTTTTAATAACCTAAGCCACTATGCTCTGCATCCCTTCCTCCTAATTTTCATAACAACATGGCAAGTTAATTTTGGAAATCACTTTCCACTCTCAGTCCAGAAGTATCCAGGCCTGGCCAAACAGACATGACTGTGTGACACCCAGCGAGACTGTGACAGCTAGTCCCCACACTCAGTGGCTCGGCTGATAAATTGTGATCCTGGGAGTTGCTGGTGCCTATTTTTTGCTATTATGAGGTGAGAGCCTTTCTGAAGATAAAGTCAACGTGGAGGAAAGCAGAGGTGAGCAACGGAATGAGACAGATTCCTGCTGGCAACTGAAGCCAGCTGTTCCTGAGTGAACACTACTCCTGGAGTTAGTTTCCTGTCATTTAGAACCAAAAAGTCCTAATGATTGTGCCCCAAACCACTAAATTTTAAAATTTCACAAGGTCACTAAAAACACTCTCTGTGATTATTAAAACATAGTACACAGGTTAAAGTTCTTAAAAGTGAAAATTCAACAAAGATTTAATTACTTTGTGTTTTCTTATTCAGTCTATTTTGCCCCTACAATTACATTTTGCCAAAATAGCATAATTTACAAAGCAAGTTGTTCAATCCATCTTTTTTCACTTGCATTGTGAATAATTTTTAAATAGTTATTAATTTTTTAAAAAATTACAGATGTCCCTCCTTTTCCCCCCTTTGACACCCTCCTTTCCACTCCCCACCCCCTTCACCATACTGCTGTGTCCACTGGTTATGCATATAAGTTCTTTGGTTTATCTCTTCTTGCCCCCCCATCCCCACCCCCGCCCAATCTGCTTCCCCCTAAAGTTAGTCAATCTGTTTCCTACTTCCATGTCTCTAGATCTATTTTGTTCATTAGCTTATTTTGTTCATTTTATTTCACAAATAAGTGAGAACATGTGATATTTGTCTTTGTCAAATCCTTATTTTTGAGGGGTAACACTGACTCAAATATCAAACTGAGGACAGCCTGTCTAGAAGAGCTAAAATTTAATAATAATTACAACACCTTATTAAATGTTTCATATTAGTCTTCAATTTTAAAAAGATGGAAATAAAAGATGTGGGGCAGGGGAAAGTATGCATGTCAAGACTGTCCAATTTTTTTTTTTTATCCTCATCTGGGGACATTTTTTTTTTTTTTGCATTCATCTTCAGATAGAGCAGGAGGGAATGAGGGAGGAAGAGAGAGAGAGAGAAACATCGATGTGAAAGAGACACATTGAGTGGCTGCCACCCACAAGACCCCAACCGGGGCTGGGGACAAACTGCAACCGAGGTACATGCCCTTAGTGGGAACCGAACCCAGGACTCTCTGGTCCACGGGCCAATGCTCTAACCGCTGAGCCAAACCGGCCAGGGCAAGACTGTCCAATTTTTTTGACCCATGTGCCTTGAAATGTATTTTATAAAATATGAGAAAAACTCTATTCACTTTCTTCCATATCCATATGATCTTTGGTTTAACACCTAATTATAATTTTGACATTTATCATCATTAATATTAGAGGAAATTAGTTAAGTAATTTGGTGAAGTACAAAGATTAAATGAGCACTTCAGACTGAGACAGACGTGGGATCAAATCTCAGCTCGGCCTCCCACTGGTTTCCTGGCCTTGGGAAAGTCCCCTCAAGCAGCACTGTAGGGCCTGTTGTTAAGATTAAAGGAGATAATCCAGGGAAATCTCCTAGCATACTGTCACCTCTTTTCCTCACCATGCTCCATACAAAAGGGCTTGACATGTTCATAATCACACACATCATTTATTCTCTTCATGTGCACAGTCACTTCAACATTCAACCAGCAGTTACTATGGAGCATCTATGAGCACCATCCAGGGTTCCCAGTGCTTTACCGAGGGCAACTTGGCATGATTCAAAGGGGTATGAAAAACAGGCCTTGACCACAGAACTTATATGCATGTATGCATGACCAATGGACATGGACAACTAAGCCAGGGACGGGGTGGGGGTGGGGTGGGGAGGGGGGTGCCAATGGGGTAAAAAAGGTGAAATATCTGTAACAAAAAAATAAATAAAAAATTAAAAAAAGAAAAAGAAAAATAGGCCTTGAGCTTTTGCCTTAAAGTATATTACTACTTTAAAGACATTTATTCTCATCAGAACCACCTCATTTCTTTGTTTTTTGTTTTTTGTTTTTCTGAAAGCAAGGAAAGAACACTATCCTTGGCATCAAGGGGACATGGTATTATCTGTCCACTTTATGGTCACCGCTGTGTGACTTGAGCACGACAAAATAATTTGTCTACTTTTCTCACTGTAAAATATAAACCAAAAGTTTATATGGATCCTTTTAGATTTAAAATTCTATGATGCTAAGATTTGCCTTGTTGGAAGTGAAGTCCGGTCTTATTTCTGGTTCTATTTCATCAAGATCAGGAAGCATGTAAACAAAGTCTAAATGACTTATCTGAAAGGTAAGCAACATCCCTGGCTGGTTTTGCTCAGCGGTTAGAGCATCGGCCTGAGGTCCAGAGAGACCGGGTTCGGTTTCCACTAAGGGCATATACCTCGGTTGCAGTTTGTCCCCAGCCCTGGTTGGGTCGTGTGGGTGGCAGCCACTCCATGTGTCCCTTTCACGTCGATGTTTCTCTCTCTCTCTCTCTCTCCCTCCCACTCTATCTGA